AATGAAATGTTAACTCAATATAATCAAATCGACGTCTGGGTAATTACACACTTTCACGGTCACCTGGTATTTTGAGCATAAAAAATCAAAACTAGATGAATTTTTATCATTTTGGTCTCAAAATGTTCCATTTTACGGCGGATTCATAAAAAAAATTATTAGAAAAAGCTAAAATTAAGATTTATAATAGTTTTATGGCTTTAAATGGTAAAAAAACCGGTTTTGCGAAATAATCCTTCACAAAAAATTCGTCTGATTCTAGTCTCACCCACAAATTAAGATAAACTTGTAAGGCGAGAATTGCTAAGAAGAATTCACAAAGTCAAATATTTTCCAGTATATTAAAAATAATAATAGATTTTCTTACAACTAAAGTTTATAAACTATTTATAATACTATTTTTAATACTAATAAACACCGATAATAATTATTAACAATGATATTTATTACATTGAAATAAATTCTTCTATCAATAAATACAAATTGAAGGTAGAGTTATGAAAAGTTGGAAAGGATATCAGTAAAATACAGTGACAGTTTTGTAATTAGCAGTAATTAATATTGTTGGATACACAAATATATTACTTTAATTACAAACGGAAAAAAAGATACTTTGATGCATTAATAATTTTTTTGTTTAAAATAATTTAATCTAGTTTATAAGATAATTTATATATCACATTTTAATTAAATAATTATAATTAAAAAAGAAAGAAAAGAAAAATAAGAAACTTGTTATTGTGATTATCAGAAAAAAATTGAAATTCTATAATAACTTTTTTTTTCTTCGATATTTCAAAGTTTAAATGAACACAACAAAAACTACTTATATTTACTTACTTTCGGTTTAAAAGATATTTTTTAATCTAATTTTTGAAGTTTTTAAGTACTTTTATTCGAGTGACTCTCTATATTTATAAGAATTCTCTTATACAGATAAAGATAAAGAATAAAAGTTGTACTATATACACATATCCTGTAGATATATTAACCACATGTGTGAAGTGTCGGAGCAAAACCAGGTTGTTCTACTTATAAAAAATTTCAAGGAATAAAAGAGCTGTAAAACTTTTTATAATTTATCAAAAACATATCTGTTAGATGTTATTTGTCTGAAATAAGTACTAATGAATAATGGGAATTAATTTTTATAAAAAAAAATAATTGTTTTAACGTTGTAACAAAAGTGATTAATAATTATTAATTGCTACAAAGATAATTTAAAAAGTATTAAAAAAGTTATAACAAATTCTAACATTATTATCAATGGGGGATATTAAGTAAACATTTGGGGTAATAATAAATAATTTTTTAAAAAAAACAGAGTTCCCTACATATTCTTATCCAGTACCTCACAGTCTTACGAGAGGAACATCACTCATGGGGAACTAAATTTTTTTATACGTGTAATTGAAGGATAAAGTAAAAAAAAAAAAATAAATCTATGTAACTTAACGAACATATTTTTCATAAAGAAATTTATCATCCATTTGATGACACTTTTTAATATGGTGACTAAAAAAAAATATCCTTTTCATAATACTTTTTTGCTATTTGGGGAGTAATTTTGTGGTCTATAAAAAACTTTCACTACAAAATCGATTTGATTGTACAGTTAAAATTTCATAAACGATTTTATGGGTTATTTTAGACACTCCACTGTACAAAATAGTTTTCCTCTTCTATTGTCACACTTTTAACAACGTTGGTACCACAGCTTATAAAATATCGTGAATGTTTTTTTTTGTTTGAACTGTTTGCTACTCAAAAAAGAATGAACGGATCAACCTAAAATGAGAAAAAGCTTTACATTCAATGTAATTTTTAAAATGTCTGACCAAAAAGTAAAAATAGCCTTACTTTATCAGATAATCTTCAAATACAAAAATTTGAAAGTCATTCAGATTAACGAATTTTCAAGAACAATTGGAATATTTTTTAAAAAATCTTTTTGATTTTAAAGTGACTTTTCATTTAACAGTGTATGATGCTTTTTTCAAGGAATTATTAAAGCTTTAAGCTGAAAGTGACGTTTATTCTTTGACAGTTAATAGCTCCGTTAAAAAAAAAGTACACAATATTCACCAGAAAAAGCATTTTGTAAAACGAAAATGAGCTCCAATACATTTAATCTATATATTCTTAAAAAAATTTATCCTTCATCTCAAATAACTGAATATTAAAATAAAAAAAGATTAATTGTTTTTCTAAATTAAATCAATTATTTGAAAAAATATCTTGTAAAAATGAGAATTCAAGCTAACGTTTTCTCCAACATGTATTTTATTTTCCTACATTATTTTACCTATAAAACATTGTGAATAATATTTTTGAAAATGTTGACTAAAAAGTTTATTCAATAGCTAAAAATTATAGTGATGGGAAAATAAATTTACAAATGAAAATCAACAAACGTAGTAGACAGAGAAGTAAAATGCTTTCAAGCATACAAATACAAACACATATTTGAACGTAACTAGTATGTCTTCAATGTAAACATATTCTTTATTTACGTTATATTTGGAAATAATCTACCATCATAGAATCTCGTTCACAATTCAGCCCCTTACCTGAACCCTTCAACTTTACAATCTTCTCCTCGCTTCGTATATAAACTATATACTAGACACAAGGGCAAATACAAGTAAAAGTAAACAGAGTAAATAGTAAAGAAAATAGATACACATATGCAAAGGTTTGTAATGTAATACGGAGACGCTGGCAAAAAGTGGAAGGGAAAAAAGAAGCGAAAAAAAGTAAGAAAAGTCTGGAAAGCACTACATATTTCTTGTATATGTTCCATGTTTACCATCGTCTAAATATGAGGAAGGATATTTCAATATTGGTTTGAAAACATATATTTACAAATATGAGATCTTATGCCAAGTGAAATGTGCAAATTTTGTACCGTTAGCAACGAGAGAAAAATTGCTACGTCTTTTACTGTGTCGTTTATCGATCCTTGCTAACTGATAAGTATCATACATGTGTATAATACACTGCTAGGTAATTTCGTATGTACGCAATGAGTATTTTAGATTAAGATCGTTGTTAAACACGATGGAATAAAGCAATAGTAAACAGTCAAGTATAAAATGATCAACACACGCCAAGTACCTATATGGGTAAATGAATAATGAAATACATTGCGAGTCGTCAGACCCTCTGAGGCCTGACCTACAATTCTCTGCCTTACTTATTTTTTATGTCTCTTTTAATAAGTGAATAACTAGTTGTTCAATTTCACCCGTGTTGAACAAGTTCAATTGTTTCGAAATAAATTCATTCATAAATTAATCACCGGAATTTTCTAAATTGTTTAATGTGGCGTTGAATGGTGAATTTATAAATACTGAAACTTTCATCAGTAACATCTTGATGACTAATTGACCTTTTATCCAATCGAACATCATTCATCAAATTACTTATGGCTTATTATATTTCTAATTATGTCCGAATTATTTTGAAAAATGTGACTGCCGAAATTTATGTAATAATCAGTCAGTTGTAAACTCGGCCAAGATGAATACTCATCTCAGGAAATGCAACTTTTAAAGTCGACTTTGTACTCTTGACATCTTAAGAGTGTTTGAATTACGTCACCGCTTTATAAAGCAACAGAAAGTGTAAAAAAAATTCTTAGTATTTTTTTATGTTCTTCACTTTATACTTCTTTGAGAAAAAATTAAAACTGAGAATTGGAGAATTTGGGTATCAAAAAAAGCAGAAATTGTTACATATGCTGAAAAGGTTGAGAAAGAAACTTCTAATTTAGTTCAAGCAATCATTATTTTTCCTGTAAAAAAAAAATAAGAAACGATAATTGAAGCAAAAAATAATTGAAGAAATTACAATTTTTAGTCACGATAATAATTGTATTTCAAGAACAAGTAGAGCGTGAAAAATGAATAACTATGGTTAGCAGGTTGGATTTAAAGTTAGTTAATTATGATTTCAAAATAGATGAACCGATAACAGGGTCTCAATGCTCTTTTCTACATCCAACCCTCCATCACGTATCCTACTCGTCTCAAGTGGTTAAATTTCACTAGAAAATTTCAAAACACGTGGACGTCGTTTCAAACACACGCCCTCTCTGGGCTGTGAACATGCGCCAACCTCCCGGGAAATTGTAGATGAGGCTCGATTATGTATTCCGATCGCGAGCGATACCGACCCACTTCGCTTGGCGTGAGGCTCGTGATGGAGTGTTTTCTACGCTACAGCGGCCGTTAAGTAACGGGGGGTAACAGTCTCGTACCCCCATACAGCTTACGAGAAAATAGTGAAATGAGAAGATAAATAACAATCGTTTTTCCAAATGCCATTATTTTTAGTCGTTGGCCGTAAATTAATTCACAACATCGAGTAGTAGAATAGATCGAGGGATAAAATTCGATACCGCCATGTCAATTGAATGATTAATGAGAAGGATCAGGGTTGTTTTGGTTGAAATCATGGTGGACAAGAGTCGAGAGACGTTGGTTTAAATTGCGTGTTTTATCGACGAGCAGTGGGCGGACTGCAGTGTCAGTAGGGTGAAAAACATTCCCTCTAGTTGCCTACTACTACCCATTCTATCAGGCAGACTCGTATGTTTGTTTTAGGTTGAGTCTGTCAGATAGAACAGGCAAAGAGGCGAATTCAGTGGGTGGTACAATGGTTAAGCTGAATTATATTGGGGGAATGATGTAGGCTAAGATAAGCACATGCTTTGCAACAGCCAGTTCATCAAACCAGGTATCGTGCAAACGTTGATGATGCATCGGGCAACCAGCTCACGAATGCAAGACCCTTACATTCTTCTCTCCGTCTACCTCCTTTCTTTGTATCTCTCACCCTTACTAAGCTAACCCCAAACGCTAGAACTCTATTAACGTTCTAAAAGTGACTGGAAGGAACACGATCTCCGAGAGAAAGAGCTCTCGAGAAAACTCCAGCTGCTTTCGACAGCTTACTCGAGTTCGGTTGATTGACTTTTCGATTTAATTGTTTTCTAGGTGCTCTGCAAATCGAGGCATCAGAGGTCGAGGATCAGGGACACTATGAGTGTGTTGCAAATAATACTGTCGGTACTGCCTACTCCGAAGCAATACAACTTTACGTGAGAGGTAAGAAGCTTGATATTCTGATTAAAACCTGCTTTCTGTTTTAACGAAACAATCTTTTAATACCTGTACCTTACAGTGAGACGATTGGCGCCAAATTTCTCCATCCGCCCACCAGCTGTCAGTGAAGTTATGATGGGAGCATCGCTCAATTTGACTTGCGTTGCCGTAGGCTCGCCTATGCCTTATGTGAAGTGGAGAAAAGAACCTGCCACAGAAATCACACCAGAGAACTTTTTACCCATCGGCAAGAATGTTCTAATCCTCACGGAAATTAAAGAGTCAGCCAATTACACCTGCATTGCTGCTAGTGATCTTGGTGTTATCGAGACAGTCTCAGTGGTCAAGGTTCAATGTGAGTTTTGTGAAGAAAAGAGCAGTGTAAGCCTCTCGACTACGGTCATTACAAATCTTTATTTCTTTGCTTTCCTCAGCTCTTCCTGGTGCTCCAGAAAATGTCCAAGTCTCAGAAATCACAGCAACTTCAGTGAAACTCACTTGGTCCTATAAGAGGCCTGATGAACTTCAGTATTATGTCATTCAACATAAACCTAAACAAGCCAATCAAGCATTTGCTGAGATATCAGGAATCACCACGATGTATTATCATGTCAGGAGTCTAAGTCCTTACACGGAATATGAATTATACGTGATTGCCGTTAATATTATAGGACGAGGTCCCCGAAGCCACCCTGTTTATGTCACTACTGGAGAAACAAGTCAGTATTCTATTCATTTGTATTCATTACACACTAATGTTATTAATCAGTACAGGATATTAAATAGACACGTTTTTGTTAAATAACTCTAATTTATATTGAGGAAAGCACTTATGATAGAATGGGTTATATTTATGGAGAAAAAATATCGTGTAAAGCGTTATTTGTTTTAATGATGTTTCGTGACTTTTGAAAATTAATCAAAATAGAAACTTGAAAGTATGTTGATTTCTACACAATAATTTTTTAGATTTCACAGTTGATTGAAGACAATTTAGCTTCCTTCATTTTGCAAAAAATTACAATCATTTATTTTCTAAAAAAATATTGTTGGTAATTGCTGATACTAAATTTCGATTATTTGTTCAGTATTTTTTATTTTCAAATTATTTAAAAGTCTAATTTTAAAAAAAACTTAACAATGTTAGCAGAAAATAATTGCTCACTTTACTAGATGGCATATCAATAAATAATTTTCCATCATTTTTAAACAATATAAAAAATGGTGAATACAGTTATTTGTGAAAAAAGTGCTATTTTGAAATGCATATTAAAAACATTTTAATCTAGATTTTGTACTTAATTAACGAAGAATGAGCTATTCATAGCCATGAAATAGAAAAATTAAATAAATGTATTACGTTGGAAAAATAGTAGCTAAAAATGTTGAAAATATTACCACCTCTTACATAAATTAAACTTTTCTCAAGTTAGTGCTTTTCTCAATGAATTTAATTAATATCAAAGTTTCAATTTATTTCTTTTCAGAAAATATTTTTATTCATACTATAATTAGTATAATTTGAATATATCTTACATCACATTAATCTATTTATTCAATGAATATTCATGAAAAATTAATCGTTCTTAGCTTTAGATTTTAATGCATGATGTAAAATGATATTTGAGCAAATATTTTTATGTGAAAAAAAAAATTTTTAAAACTTTATTTTGAGGGAAATTCTGTGTCCTTTATTTTCATGCTGTCCTCCGCGAACACATTTCAATCTGTGTAAGTGACAAGGATTTTTTTACTCATTATCACTGCTCTTTGTTCTCCGTTTTTACATTGCACTTTGATATTTCGTCAACATGAAAACTTTTTGTCGAGTCAGTCTTCCTGTGTAGTCCCTTTGTTCATCGAAAGCCATGTGTATCCAACCGATACTCTGCGGAAATCTTTTAAAGCCATAGCTTTCTATGAATCTATAGTACAATATATAGAAAACATTTTATCACACATGGAGAAAACATAATTGTCATATCACTCATCGAAATAGAAATCATTAAATCTCATTTTTAACATAAAACAACATTAAACAAAATTTCATCTATAATTAATTATGCTCTGGAGTTTAATGCTTAGAGGCCAACGAAGAAAATTATGATTTTTTTAAATTAAATAACTTTTTTTTATTCAAGAAAAATAATCATATTTTCGTTTAAGAAATTGATCTTTATCTTTGTTTGTCTGAAACAATGTAAAAAATTGAAGAAGGAAGTTTCTCTAGCAATAAGAGATTTTTTAAAAGAACAAATTCATGAATTTGTAATTAATTTTTTGTATTTATAGGAAAATCGAGATTCAAAATATGTTCTAATCTAAGAGACATTGAAAAAATGTCATAAAATATTAGTTTTAAATAAAATTTATAATAAATTTTGAAAAGTTATTATTTAGAAAATGAAATAGCAACTGACTTGAAACTCCAGGGTATATCATTATTGTTTTTCTGATGACTATAATCCAGTATCCGATCGTGTTTTCTCCGTGTAACTGCGAATCATTATTTGACAAAAAATGACTAAATCTACCTTTTCTCTCTAGCGGAATCAACACATGGAGGTTCCAGTAAGTCATATAAAGTATTAAGAGTGACAGTAGTAATACACCGTATGATGTTGATTTTTTTTTCGTTTGTCAATGCCTTCACATTTTAAATTAATTCTCACTTTCATACACATCTCTATCTACACATAGATTTAAAAATCACGCAATTTTCAGTAGTAATATTTTCATTCACCATCAACACCATCTATAGTTTCAGTTATCGTCTTCATCTAAAATGAAAATTATCTTCTATAAATTCTATTTTGCACCTTTTCAGTTTATCTATCTTTCTCTTTTTAAACTAAACATAAAGTGCACCCCACGTATTAGTACGTGACTACTAAGCATTGTTTTCACAAATCTCCTATTGGATTTTTATTAGAAGAAGTTTCTCTGTGTGATTACTGATCACAAGTATCTTGTGATTTCAGAGTCCTTACTTTGCTAAACTTGCATATTATTGTTTCCAGGACCTGGTTCAGCACCTCGGAACGTTCAAATCCGACCGCTAAGTTCCAGCACAATGGTTATTCAGTGGGAGGAGCCAGAAACTCCAAATGGTCAAGTGACGGTAAGCCAAAACTATTGGAATTGATTCAGACGTCTCAAAAACTACATAAGTCAAAGATTGCAAATTTCTAAGGACACACTTTCAATTGTTCAATTCAATTGATAAATGACTTTTGAAGTTGGTTTTAGTTATCAACTTCCTAAATCTTTAATTACAGTAATCTTGAATATTTTTTTCAAGTAAAGATTGATATACTCGTTTCAATTTTCTATCTTTTTTAACATGATTTTTTAGCTATACATGTTTGTGTAGATAATAATTATTAATGTTGAATTATTAAAACATATTTGTAATACGTTGCTCATAAGCTGTTTAAATACACCATCAATAGAAAAGTTATTCATATAAGTAAATACGATTAATTTTATGGATCAACTTATTCTTGAAGTAACTTTAGAAATAATATTTCTAAACTAATTAGCTGATTGCAAGTTGTAAGTACTACATTTGAAAACGGCCTTTAAAAAATCAGGAATATATAACTCTAAAAAATATTTGACCTGATTAAAGATGAAAGATTTTAAGTGATTTTCAATGTTCTTCATGACATTAATAGATCATGAACTGATAATGATCGATTACTTTTATGTCTCTAAGTAATTATAGGTATATAACTTGGAATGATAGTTTTAAAACAATGAATATTAATTATCAACCACTGAATAGTCATGAAAATGTCCTATCCAATTATTTTTTTATCTCGTTTTTGCTGGAGATAGTTTAAAATACATTTTCATTAATTTTTGAACTTACCATGAAGATTATAACTCTTTTTGTCATTATTTTCAATATTAAAACTACATTTTACATTTTCATCACTTTGAAGTCTGCTAAAAAATCGTTATAAAAGAAAGCATGAATTTCAAAATAATCCTGTAAAGTATAAAAACTATATTTAGAGATTTAAATTCAGCAAAAGAGTAATTTTAAAACATCCAACTTGCATTGCTTTTAGAATAATGAATTTATATGCATTCTAAATGTAATTTAGGTTGTATTAAAGTACAAGACTATATATTATAATATATTTGCAGGGATATAAAGTCTACTTCACTACCAACCCAAATCAACCAATGTCTTCATGGCAGGCCCAAGTTGTAGATAACAATCAACTAACCACAATATCGGATCTTACACCACACACCATGTACACAATACGAGTGCAAGCACTGACAAGCGTCGGTCCTGGACCACTGAGCCAACCAATACAAATAAAGACGCAACAAGGGGTGCCGAGTCAACCAGAAAATCTTTCGGTGGTTGATGTCGGGGAAACCTCGGTAACGCTCCAATGGAGCAAACCAGCTCATAGTGCTGAAAATATTGTCAGTTATGAGCTTTATTGGAATGATACTTATTCAAAGGTATGCCAATTATTCATGTTCTAATATTATTCTCTGAGTTAAGTCAATATTATTCTCATTCAGAATGTATTAAAACTGGGGATTCGATTCGTTGTGATCAATAAATATTTGTGATGAGTTATAATAATAAATATCTTAGATAAGATATAAATTCATCGTTTTTTCTTGATCGGAAATTTTTTATGAGTTTTATAAAAAGACTTAAAATTTTGTGAATTAAATAAACTTCATTTTTAATAAAAAAAGTTAGTTAATAAAAGTAGCAGTTAATTAAGAATTTTCGTTCTAAAGCATCGTTTCAGAAGGTCGAAAAAGTCCGATAATATTTTCAATTTTTTTAAATTTTCTGGTAGAGAAATTCAGTTAAAAAATATTATGAATATTATATTACATTGTGACTGAGTACAATTTAGATGTAAATATATTTACATGAAATTAAATGCATGAAAAAGTTCAATTTCATAAAACAATTATGTACATCAGTCAAATTAAAATTCCATAAAATATTTGATATAATAAATAAATAATGATTATTTGAGTAGTAATTAAATTTTAATTTAACTAAAAATTGTACGATCAAACGAGCTCGCCGAAGGCGAGCGAAGTTCGATCGAAATTATATAAAGTCTCGTTCGAAAGGATTACAAACGTAGTATCGCCTTCGTACTACAACACAACCACACATTCAGAGATAGAAAAAGAGAGCCCTCTATGACTCTCTACCAGCTTCCGGGTAACTCTCATAATTTTTACAGATATGAAAAATAAATAAACTTGGGGTGGGACTTTTATATTATATTATATATAATTAAAACTTAAGGGGTTGGGATGTAATCCTTTCGAACGAGACTTTATATAATTTCGATCGAACTTCGCTCGCCTTCGGCGAGCTCGTTTGATCGTACAATTATAGTCGTCTCGTTCTCAGGATTACAAACGTAGATGTTTAGAGTCCTAATTTTTTGGGTAAAAAATTTTTTATTTATTTATTTTTCCAATTACATATTTTCTTACAGCATTACTTTACTTAGATTATAACTGAAGGCAGAGTATTTCAACTTAATAACTTATTATATTAGCTTGAAGACAAACTGTTTCAGCGAATATGCTTTTCGATACTTTAATTGGTCTATTGTAAAATCTTGCGAAAACCTCTGACGATTTCGTCCAACCAGCCGTTGACTTAATTGTGTTTATGTCAATTCCTTTTTTATATGCAGTTGATGTGGATGCATGTCGCGTTGAATATGCGGTAAATTCTTCTGGAACACCACTTTCTGTTAACACTGACTTAACCCAACGACTGATTGTTTGAGTAGACGCTTCTTTGTAAGGTTTCTTAAAAGTGATTAGCAGTTTGTCAACATTATTTCTTAATGAATTAGTAGCCTCAATATATTTTTCTACTGTGCTTGCAATACATAGTTGAGGTTTGTCTTTAAAATAGGGTAAAAACAGCAATGGTTGATTTACACCTTTTTTAGATGTTTTTGTAAAATCTTCAATTTCTATTTCTAATCCTCCTTCTACTTTTTTGATTTTACTTACTTTAATTAGTGCCAACGTTTGTATTCTATGAGCAGTGCCTAATGCTAACAAGGTTGCTACTTTTAACGTTAACCTTGACAACTTTAAACTTTCCAAGGGAAACCAAGTTTCTAACACATCTAAGACTATCTTTGGATCCCAGGTTTTATCATACTTCGGCCTTAGAGGACGATTTCGATAGACACCTTTGAAAAATCTATTTAATAATAGACTAGATGATAGGCTTTTTTCTGATAATAGGGATATTGCTGCTCTCATTGAATTTAGGGAGCCATAAGCTGCTCCTGCTTGAAACTTGTGAGATAAAAATTCTAATAACTTATTTTCTGTGATATTATATGGATCTTGCTTCTTTTCTTCGCAAAATCCAAACCATTCTTTTATTGGACCAGCATATTGTTTTATTGTTCCTTCTGCAAGCGATAGTATTACAATCTCTACGGCTGATGACGGAAGTCCTCTTTTTTCGAACGCTGTCCGGATAGCTTGCCGACAATCAAAAACATTTTTTGATGCAAGGGATGATTTAATGATCTGCAAGGTGATAACAAAAGTTTTTTAGATGGTTTGAAAACGATAGGTTTTTCTACTAAAAGAGTCTCGAAAACTGGAAACCAAGCCTGAGTGGTCCAATAAGGGACTACTAATATACCCCGTGCTCTGTCAGATACAATTCTCTGAATGACCCTAGGAATCATAGCAAACGGAGGGAACGCATAGAAAAACCAGTTATGCCAGTTGATTGTAAACGCATCTACGATGAAACTTTCTGGGTCTTGAAACCAGGAACAGAAAACCTCGCATTTTTTATTAATTCTGTTCGCGAAAAGATCTATTTCCGGTGTACCATATTTTCTAACTATTTTACGAAAATATTCGTTTCCAATCTCCCATTCAGTGTCGACATTGTTTTTTCTTGATTCTCGATCGGCATCTTCATTTTCTTGAGAGGGGATATACGATGCAAAGATCCAATTGTTTTTCTGTTCACACCACTGCCAAATTTCTCTAGCAAGAATATTTAAATTCTGATGTTGAATACCACCCATTCGATTTATGTAAGAGATTGCAGTCGTATTATCAACTCTCAAGAGAATGTTACAATTGTAAAGATCCGAAGCGAATGATTTTAAAGCGAAGAATATTGCAAGCAACTCTAAATAATTTATATGGTGTTTTTTCTCTTCTACAGACCATGACCCGTGAGTACCAGTACCTTCACAATAAGCTCCCCAACCTGATAGAGAGGCGTCAGTAAAAATAACCCTTTTATAACTAGGTAATTTAAAGGAGTTTCTAGAGTTCATAATATTTATTTTCCACCATTCAAAATCCTCTCTCAAATGCTCTGGCAACCTCATGACGCAGTCATATTTACCATCCTTCTTCAACAGCGACAGAAACTTCTCTCTCTCTAACTTCTTTGTATAGAGCCAACCATATTTTATTGCTGGACAAGCTGCCACTAAACTTCCAATAAGTTGAGCTAATAATCTGATTTTTACTTTTTCCTTATACATTATTTTTTGAATCTTTTCTAATAAATTATGTTTCTTTGACTCTGGCAATTCTAACGTCATACTACTTGAGTTTATCAAAAACCCTAAAAACTTACACTCTCTATCAGGTATTAATTGACTTTTTCCCTTATTTACGATGAATCCTAAAGACTCAAGAAGCTGCACTGTTGACTCTACATTCTTTGTACATTCTTCATAAGTGTTTCCTACACACAAAATATCATCTAGATATGCAATTAATAGTGAACCCCTCTTTCGTGCAACATTAAGTGCAGATCTTAAAACCTTAGTAAAAATGAATGGGGCTGTGGATAAACCAAATGGTAAACAAACAAATTCGTACAGTTTATTTTCGAACCTAAATCTAAGATATTTTCTACTCTCCTGATGCATTGGTATAAGAAAGTATGCATCCTTTAAATCAATTACAGCCAAGTAGTCTCCCTGTGATATAAGTTTTGAAGCTATTTTTATATCTTCTAGCTTAAAATGACTAGTGTCTATGAATTCATTGAGATTTTTTAAGTTTATTATAAATCTCTTTGTTCCATCTGGTTTATCCACTAGAAAATAGGAAGATATAAACTGTCCTTGAATGTCAGAACAAAGTCTGACAGCTCCTACTTCCAATAACTTATTTACTGCTATTTTATAATTTGTCAAGTTATCCAACTTAATAAGGTTAGGACTCGCAGGTTCCTTAGACTGATAAGGAGTTTCTCTAAACTCGATCTTATAACCCTCTATATAACCTATGATAGTTTCATTGGCAGTGACCAGTTTCCACGACTCCAGAAAGGATCCTAACCTCCCAGCATGGTGGGTTACCTCTATTTGTGACGACGATCCGATGACCGGTGAGTTGTTTTGGTTCTGCTGTGAGAGCTCGCATATCTCGAGTCTCTCTTGGACGTCATTCTCTGAGTTTGGGGATTGTACATCTTCTGTCCCATCCTCGAATATCCCAGATTCTTCGAAGATGGGTTCTTCCAGTTTAAATGATTCTGTGATTTCGAGGGAAATTTTTTCATTATTTGCTTAGGCTTAAGTTCGGAAGCCGCCTTTTCAATTGTTTTCGTTGTTTGGATTTTTTCCGCTAATTTTTCACCAAACAGATATTTGTCGAGTTGACATCTTTCGAGAGCATCTTTCCTGGATTTTTCTAATCCTGGCAGAATAAATGCTCTTCTGTTAATAGCCATTTGATGATGAGTTTCAGCCATTAGCATCCCTGCGTCACTTACATATTCTAACAACAGATTCCTGTGCTCATCTTTAATGACCTTTTCCTTCAATATTAAGGAAATCCCCAGGCCTAGGGCTATCATAGCTGAACCTAATGATTTCTGTGTTTCGACAGCATGTTCATCTCGCTTCTTTGCCGCTGGTTGCATTATTACGGCGACTTCTTCATTCAGAATCTGGGGTTCTAACAGAACGTTTTCAGCTCGTGGATAAGCTGCAATGAGATTCTCCTTGATCTCTTTTTCAAGACCCTCTGGAATCCATGACGACCATCTCGCTGCAACTTCTGGGTGTATTGAAGCTATATTTGTATTTTTAAGTCTTGGGTCCTTTCCTAAAATATGTTGAGTCTCCTCATCTACCTCGGTTGATGAATCGACCTTCTCTGTTTCCGCCATATTTCTTTCCTCAGTGTCCATTAGCGTACCCTGTCGCGTGAGATTTGAATTATCTTGCGGTTCAGGGTGGGTCGGTAAGCTATCGGCTGGATTATTGATTAGCTGATCTCCAGTACCATTTCCCTCGCTTGCACTCTCTGCAACAAGCCATGTAGACCCCAAATTACACCTTGCCACTCGTGCAAGTATTACTCGAAATGAACAATCTGTCCCACCACTCGTGTGGGCACATTGTTTTGAATTTTCTATTGAAATTCTTGAGCGATCTGTCCCACCACTCGTGTGGGCACATCGTCATTAAGCAACCACTCTTCTTTTTACACTCACCTGAATTCGAAGATTGTTCGTTAGCAGAGTGGTTTTGCTCGCTTACTATTGTCCCTGTAATTTTATGTAAAAGCGATTCTAATCCTTTTAACTTCTTCCAAATCTTTTCCCGTTCTTCTCTTTCTTCCTCTCGCTCACGTTTTCTTTTACTTTTTCCCATTTTTTCCTCTTTTTTGATTAAAATTTCTTACTTGAATCTCTGAACGTGTGACCGTGCCGCGCACAAAAAACGTTATGAGAGTTACCCGGAAGCTGGTAGAGAGTCATAGAGGGCTCTCTTTTTCTATCTCTGAATGTGTGGTTGTGTTGTAGTACGAAGGCGATACTACGTTTGTAATCCTGAGAACGAGACGACTATAATTCAATTATTTATAAAATTTATTATCCTATTGATTATTCACAGTTAACAATATGTAATGAATAATGTTTTTTATTCTGAAATAAAAATTATTTTTTATTAATTCAATGAGTAACATCATGCTGTTTATTATATTCATTCTCAAAATAAGTCACATTTTATTCATAAAATCATTTTTTTTTTAAATTCTTTGCATCATTTATTCTATTCTTTGTGGAAATTTTTATTCTGTAATTTATGAAAAATTAAAAAGTTTCATTCGAGAATTGTAATATCCATGAATTTTTAATAATATCCTTTGTAATTCTTTGCATAAAATATCTCAACGATGACTCTAAAAGCTAGAAAAAAAAGTCAATAATTTTTATTTTACTTATTCTTCTACCAAGTTCACAACTTTCTCAACAGATGATAACAATGAATCTACAGTTAAAACAAAAAAGCTAAAAGCTAATTTGATATTTCAGGAAAAATATCATCGAAGCATTGGCGTTGTACAGAATTACACGCTCACGAATTTGTATCCCAATACACTATACTACGTTTGGCTTGCCGCAAGGAGTCAGAGGGGTGAGGGAGCAACAACTACGCCATACGAAGTTCGCACCAAGCAGTACGGTAAGCAAAGTCGATACCAAACCACTCTCAAGCAGCAAGGAGTGCCACAAGTACAAACATTTCAATCTACTCCAGCATCAGAGTGGACTCAAATGGAATTTACAATGTCTATAGATGTATGTAATACTCTGATGCTGGAGAAGTGAACAGTCGTGGTGGCCCAGCAGGTAGGAGGTACTCAAGCGCTGGACGCTCCCTTAAGTAGCGTAAGCTAAAAAGTGCCAATTCTTTCCTCCAAAAAGTATCTTATTTTCATTTGATCGACAAAAAAAAAGAAAAACGGAGAGAAAGATTCAGACAGAAATAAAAGTACAAACAAATCGGGAATTATAAATAGATCAGTAGAATGAGGCGTAAAATCATGAAGTGTGGGAGAGTGAGAATGATTGCATGCGTTACAAAAAATGCCGTTTTTGAATGCTACTATATATATTTATCTATATAATCGTATATATATCATACATTATCAATTGCACTAAGCACTGCATCGATATATGTGTGCATTTTGAGCACCTCTATTTTCATTCTTGATAATCTATTATTTAAATCAGTTATTATAACTTTAGTTAATTCGTTACTCGAACAATTTTAAATGTATTCAGAGTGCTCTGTAATAGAGCTACGAATTCTCTTATATTTCTCAGGCTGTATTTAATCTTGCATTAATCACGTACTTTCGATTGTTCAAGGAATTTATTATACCCTTGTTAATTATTATTCTTATTCTTATTATTAATTAATTACTTATTAGTAATTATTAATTAATTATTTGTTACACTCCACGCAAAAATGATTTTTGGTCCTACAGCCATCATCAAGGATTCATCATCAATCTCTTTTAGAGAAATCAATCGTGTAACATTGCTTAAATTTATCTCATTTTTAAAATGGTATTTTTTTTATTTAATGATTTTTATTGATTAAAAAAATATTTGATAACTTTAATTTATTATGGGTTTTTCTTTAATAACTTTTTAATAATCAATAATGATTTCTTTTAAAACTTGAGTTAGCATGAGTTATACCAATTTTATATTCAATTCATTGGAATAAAATAAATTAGTTCAAAAATATTCTAAAATATTGATCAACCAATTCATGGAAATGATCAATATTTGCTTCAAAAGGATATGGTTATTTAAATGATCATTGAAATTCTAAAATATATTTCAAAATTTAATTATTGGTTTGAAAAGAAAAGCTCATTAACAGAGTTAATTATACAAAAAATTGAGTAATAATGAGCTTTCAATATGAAATTATTTAGAGAAAAAATTTGAACACGTCTACATCACTGATTTCTTTAACATAACATTCAAGTTAAGCCGAAAGCAATCACAATTTGAAATCTGAAGCAAAAAACTCGGCTTTTCTTGAATGGACTACTCCAAAGCTGATTGAAAATGATCTATCAATGGCTGTAGCACCCAATATCTTCGTTCCCTATTTTTTTGTTTTTTTCCCTCCTACATCTGAGTGTTATACAGTACCCGGGGCTCCGCCTCGGAATGTAACCGGCCGAGCCATCTCACCAACCGCCATAGAGGTATCATGGGAACCACCACCAACTGAGAGTGCTAATGGAAGGATCACTTACTACAAACTTCAAGTTGTCGAGCACGACCAGCCTGACTCAGAGGCAAGAATTATCAAACTCTCCGACACCAAATTCACTTTGGACGAACTGAAAAGGTGGACAATATACCGCATCTGGGTATTAGCAGGGACCAGCGTAGGTGATGGACCTCCAAGTTATCCTATCAGTGTCAGAACCTGGGAGGACGGTATGTATCTGAGATTTGAACGACATTTTTTGTGTGGCTAACCCATCGTAAGAGCTAGTCTAAGAAACTAATGAATAATTTGAGCTTCGACATAACAACTGATGAAAGCAATTTCTTGGTTTTAAAGAACGAAATCTTAATCAATGTTTCTTTGACTAATTGTTACGAACAATTAACTAATTAAAAGCGTCAAATGTCTATCTCCAGTGAGCCAAAAATATAAAAGCCCGCCACACGATTTCGGATATGTGTAAATAGCTTCAAAGACTGTTCGATTAAAGGTTAGGGCTTTCATGATAAATCCGTGAAAAAAATGAATTTTAACAAAAATGGAAAATAATATTGTTTTGTAAATTTCAGATCTCCTATTTTCCTGAAATTCCATTTACCTTAACACACATCCCTAATTATTCATTAAATCAAAAACGTTACGTGTACACGTAGATATATATTACTTTCGGTCTTTTATCCATTATTATGAAACGTATATAAAACTGGACGGTTTGTTCATGTATATAAAATATGATTTTTTTTTCTTTTGACGTGCACGAGACAGCAAAACATGACGAAAAAAAAACAGCCTGCAATATCATTGACACATCGAAAATAATATTTTCTTAACTCGTTAATAAAAGCCAAGTTTGCTGATATTTTTTAATTCTCAATTGGGATGTTTCAAAATTGATTAAATATTTTATTTAGTTGACCGGTTATATTAATGATGTGCACGATATAATCATATATTGTAAATGGAATGAAATCGGTTTAAGTCGGCCCAATATTTTTGGCTGGCGAGATTTTATATTTTTGGATTTTTCCCGTCTAAATCACGAAAACAAGGATCGGGTTGTTTTTTAAGCTCGTTCCTTGGTATGAATCGGAGTTTATTTTTTGTTGGAATGCTTGCGTCGAAGCCACAAGGACGAGGAACGGGTTTTTGAATTCTTACAGCCTCGTCCCTTGGTATGCATCAGATTTTTTTCCAGGTGCAACCAGAGCCACGGATTTTTCAGATGCTGAACATAACAAACTTTTTCAAGTCAATAATAATAATCATACCTAATACTAATTATTAATTGTAGTAATAATAATAACATTAATTTAAAGAGAGAGACCTGTTTCTAATAATTTTTTACAGGTACTCAAAGCTCTCTCATTTGTGTTCGTGTCGTTATTATTAATTATTTTTATTTATTTCGTTGTTTAATAACTAGGATATACCGATTTTGAACACGCTAATGAATGCTCACGTGTTTTTTATCTTTCCTTAAAGCATTTGCAGGAGGATGTGCCCAGGTTTTCATACATCTAGTACTTAAGATTTTATACACTACCTAAAACTATGACCTGATAATGTGTAATACATCATACTCTGTGTTTTTTCTTTAACATAAACAATTATTTCTTTTATTTATTCACTCATTCTTGCCACTTAAAATGACAATAACATTAACAGCATTTGTCATTTCAGACGTAAAATTATCTTCAATATTTTGCCATCAATATTGAAATTATTGATAAATGTGAGTAATTCATAAGAATCCTTTTTGACAAACCAATGATAATTTTACCAAAGAATGATACAATGCTAGAATGAATACGACACACGACATAAAAACTCAGATTCACTACACGGGAATGCAACTCTTATATACAAATAAAAAACAATAATTAATTTCTCTTTTTTAAAATATTATCAAACACAATAAATATTTCTTAAATCTCTGATAATAAGGCTCTGCTGTTTTTAGTTAAAAAATTTAGTTTTATCGTTTGCACATGTTAGAGCATGCATTCGTTTGTTTAAACTCCCTCGGATCACCCATACCTCGATTATCGAACTCCGTCACGGATAAACCGTTGTCCTCTGACCCCAGACACAAGCCCCCGACCATGATCCCACAACCTCTCGACGTCAAACTGGGCCGAGTCTGCCGGACATCCCTTGCCTATCGATTCTACTTGAATTTATTTCTTTTTTCATCCTCTGAATGGCATGCCGATGCATGAGACATTTTTATTTTTCAACTCCTTATCTCCATCCTTTTTATCCGAGCCGCATGTCAGTCGGATATGTCCTGAGATTTTTTCAAACGCGAATTTAAATCCATGCACGGCCATGTGAATAAATGATAAAGACTTTCGCGAAGCTAAAATAACTTATCATTCATCTTTATATACACATCTGACAATATATTTCCTTCTTATCTCAAATGATTCTCATCGTCAATAAACCAAATGACACGAACAAAGGATCAATCCAAATCCTCTTATACTTTATCCTCTTGTTATCCTGTTCCAAATAATAATCTTCCAACTTATCATGTTTCTAATTTGAATATCCAGGAAAATATTTTTAGATCAGATTTAACCTGATCAGATCAGTATTTTGAAACATCTAGATCTAAAGATCAGATTCAATAGCATCCAATGCCGATCAATCAATTACATCCGATCGAGTTCGAAACGACTTTATTTCAAAAACATCAGACTTTTTCAAGTAGTTCAATCACGGTGCAAATTAAATACGAACAAAAAACTCAAGTTCTTGGATTAATTAATATTGACAACTATTAAAAAATGTTCTAAAGATAAAATAATTCATTACTAGAGTTGTAACTTTGAAAAATAATTTAAACAAAAAATTAGCAATGACATGGACATTGATTGTTGCTTGCAAAGATATATTTTATTTTCTATAAAGTCTCTTTTCAACTGCACCGTGACGAGATTAAAGCTCAGATCATGATTGGTCAAATTGGATTGGATGAAAAAAAATATAGTTCTGGAAATTAACAAATAATATTCCTAAATAATCGACAACTGCTGCAGACTCGGCAAAGGAAGACGAATCTAAAATAATAAAGCATTGCTGCAGAAAGCACTCCGCCATATAAATTCGCACTTTGTGAAGCACTCAATGAATACCGCAATATATCTATATATATATAGCGTACGCTCACTTTAATCACTTTTTTGGGGGGCACTATTGCACCGTTTTCACATATGTATAAACACAGATCCGTAACTCTACTCCAATCATATATGTTTCAATGAAAGACTATTCAACTGAACATAACGTATATACATTTTGTTTATAATTATTCCAAAGTATTCAATAGAACATTAAATACTTAAATCTCTTCAAATAAAATCCATTCACCTTTGTATAATAAACTCTAGATGTGTGTTTATACATACTGTAGTACGTTTTCCGGTTGATAGACGCACTTTTTTAAATATCGTGTCGAGCACCAAAAGCACCGTAAAAGCACCCTAATATCGTTTGTGACGAAACCCAAGTCTCGGTCTAATATTCTCAGGATTAAAAGTATTTTAAAAATTTATTTTTTTACTTTAAAAAAAAAATCCTGAGATTTAATTAGACGTGAGGTGGGGCGTATGAATGTGTGCGTGTGTGTATAGAATAAGAGGTCAGATATGAAAAGCGAAATTCAATGAGGCAGAAGGGGTTTGCGAAGTATATCACTTGGAAAAAAAAAATATCGAGAGATGGAATAAAAAATATATTGGAGGAGAATAATAAATGTGGGGAATGATGGCAAAAAGGGGAAGATTCATCATATTCATTGTAAATGGGACATAGGTATACGTATGTATAATACAAATATACGTCATGGAGACAAAGAGTAGAGAGAAAAAAAAAAGAAAACGTGATATGATTACTGTAGGTACATTTGAATACCAATACAATCGATTTCCTCGCTTTTGACTTCTTTGAGATACCACGACACCGGCGTTTGTATCATTATACAACGTCTATGGTATTAATAATATTCAAGAGGATAAATGTAAGGGTGAAACAACGTCTTTCAAGTTTGTATAAAAAGTAAAAAAAAAAAATGGGAAGAGGACATGATGGTATTTTTTTCACGCAAGCCATCGCACCTACAGTTAATGCAGATTTTTATGTAAAGAACGATCATTATATATTAACGTAAGCACCTTGGACGATGAAATTGTTTATCGTTTTCACTTGTATACCACTTTCAAAGCTTCGTTTTCACATTATCAAATTCGTTGGAATGTATACTACACCTTGTAAAAGGTCGTTTAATTAATATATACTTTTTCGTACGCTCTATGCATGGAAATCGACCAGTTTTCATCATGTGTCTGTAAGTTATCAGATTTTATATACTCGATCGTACGTATATATAAATGCCTACTTCACACATTTATTACCTTATGCACTCATATAAATATGTATAAACAAATTTCTATATATACTTAATATATATATATTGTACAATTATTCTTATTATTATTATTAATTATATTAACACAATGTTGAACATATCGAGCAAGTGCGCATTCGTATTTTCATCGTCTTGCGCGATTATTATTATATATATATATATTTCTAGAGTAACAGTTTTTTGTTTGCTCTTTATTATTACAAGGTATTGTATTAAAATATATTGGACTGGCAGTTTTTAGTAGCTGCAAAAATTTTCCCCGAGGGCTGCGGCTTTCGATTATTATCATATATTTTTTACTTTTTATCAACGTATCATATCCTTACAAGTACAAGCATGGTACTGTTTGCCCGATTATTTTATAGTTACGCAAATGGTATAAATTTAATACAAATATGTGGACCACTAGTCAATGCTAGCCATCACGGAATATCGCGATGTACAGACGTTCAATAATTATTTCCCTAGTAGAAATTTTAGTCAGGGTCAGACAATCTACTGTCAATCTCAGCTTTTAAAAGTGTTTTATTTCAGCACAGCTCAAGTGTGTGAATATATGATGTCATTCATAAGATCAGAATGGTTGACACTTCTAATACACTTCGAAGTGTGTTGAAAATGCTTCTAATGTTGATCTCGTGAGTGACTTTATATTTACACGCTTTAGTCGTGTTGAAATAAAGTACTTCAAGAGAAGCGGAAGATTTACAGTGTGGCTTGCTTTCTTTTCAATAAGTTTTCTTCATAAAGCTCTTTAAAGGGAACTCCTAAATTTGATAATAAAAATAAAAATTAATTTTCGTCTAATAATAATTGGTTATAATTAACGTCAAAAATTTATCCTTTATAAAATTATTTGAATAATTCCAAGAGTGCTTTTTTAATGATGCTCTAACGTATTTAGGAAATTTAAAAAAAAAATTTGTTATTTATCTAATATAAAAAGAATAAGTTCAACAAAGAGAATAGTCCATAAATTGTTGCTATTAAGAAAATCTATTTATTTATTCATCATCTCATTGTAATTATATTAATAATAATTTTTTAATGATAATTTTTTCTTATTACATAGTTAGTTTTTGTTGTAATTATACCGTATTATATATGAGATAGACATCCAGCTTGTCACTTCATATTGTTTCTATTCTCTTTAAACAATAAATATAAATAAAATTTTTCTTAAATGTCGAAAATTATTATGATAAATATTTTTAAAACTATTTGAAAATAAAATTTGTTTTACATGGATAACATTTTAAATTGTTAATAAAAATAATTATCTAAATCTAGGGTTAATTTTTAGAATGTAAATAAAATTTTCTAATTGTCTATTGTATATAGTACAAGCTAATAATAAGATCACCTTTAAAGAGCTTTTAAAAGATTAAGGGAATGCTAGGAGATTTTCTACTAGGGTTGCATCTTTTTTACCAATATATATATATACATACATATCATTGTTTTTCTAAAAAAAAATTTATTATCGAGTGAGTGAACACGAGTGTTGTAATGAATGATGGAATAAGAGTGAGGGGTGCAAAGTCCGTATAAAGTAGATACATACAAATCTAACAGCTCATTTTTTTAAGACTCGACGAAATAAAAAAAATGTAAAATGGAGCTCGTTCTGTATACGGTTCTTCGGGTTATCGTGCCTGCTATTATTTCTTTTGAATTTTATACAACCTTTTTTTCCCTTTTCCGTGTATGTATACTCGAATTCTAAGCTACAGAAATTCATAATTACCGTTGATTTAATTACGTGCGGAAAGTACCCACATGCTCGAGTTATTAATGTTTTCATGCATCTATTCTATTCCCACCATATTCATAGATCTTACCTTTCTTTCATTCTCCTAGTATTTTTAAATTTCCTCATTTTCATTTTTCGTAAGCATTATATAGGTCTTCCTTTAATGCACCTGGAATTATCAGAGAACTCAAATGAAAAAGTTTTCACTCCATTATATTCATCTGTATAATATTATTAAATAATAATAAATATTCATTTGGAAGCTGAGAAAAAAGAAAAGTTCTCTAATTATTACAGATGCACGGACATGAGCCTTTAGTTAATTCATATTTGGAGTAGTGACTGCGCATGCTAAAAAAAAATAAATAAAATATTCTCACGTCTCCCGCCTCTCTGTGACCAGCCGAGAAGACCAAGCGAATAATAACAATCGATAGAATAAATTTTTTTACGTCGGCAAATTGTCATTTTTTGTCTATGCGAGAATGAGATGAAGCACGAAAGTGTATGAATGATGATACTAAAAGTTGAGAATGCGAGCACAAGGACGACTGGATGACCGGCCATGTAGGAGAAGAATAATCCACTAAGTTGCATGAGTATGAAAGAAAATTATATACATATCAGAGTGAATATTTTTCTCTAGTGTGAATGGTGAAAATGATGTTTGTAAATTTTTCTATAGTAGATGTTATTTACCCATGTTATTTAATATACCTTTTAAATTTAATTAAATTTTGTAAATTAATTGATGTACGTGAGAAATTGATACGAAATTTCACGAGTTTTTTTCCCACTTTTTTGGCGACTATTGGGGCGCAGATAACAAAAGTGAGTATCAAATACTACCTTGAAATCATCGAGTACTTAATAATTTATTAATTTTTTTTATTCTTTATAATAATAAATTACTTAATAATATATAAATTATTATTTTTACATAATGCTAATAATGATGATAATATTGATAATAACAAATAATTATTACTTAATGTACGTCTATAATCGCTAGGACAAACCTTTTTTGCATACTTCCGAAGAGGCAGCAACAAACAAGTTCGGCCACTGTACAGCTAAAGCTCGCGATTTTTGGACTTCTTATTTTGGAAATTATTTATTTAGCTATAGTCAGACTATTTTGCCATTCGGCTCGTTTGTGTGTGTACAAAGTATCATAATGTCAAACAGCAAAGATTGTTATTTAATTCTTTATTTTATCCCACATGTTTGTTGCCGTAATTACGCCACTTTTTGTTTCTGCTAAATTACTATTGAAATATTTTTTATTTCTGTTCATTTGTTACGTATACGGCAGAATTCGTTTGATATCGTAGTAGCTGTGTTTTATATTAATGCTCGCGACAAATGTAGGTAGGCAGTGGCAGTGCTGACTTTATTATTTCATTTGTTATTTTATTTATTATAAATATAATGATTTTTTTACTTTTTCATATAAATCGTTTATAATTTGTGTAAAGTAACGGTGTAATTATTATCATTCGTCGGATACTGGACTGTCCATGACGGGCATTTATTCAGGATCACAATTAAATAACTAATAACAATATTTATTAGAAACGCATGAGTTATATTATATAGAACACACACTTGAATATTTGAGTCAATGACGCACAATTGCAATATCTTAATTTTGTCATTTTTTGGCACAGCTTTTGCAATGTTATGAAGCACACATTTTATTATTCACATTTTAATATATATATATATATATATTATATATTATATATACTTTCGTCCTGTAGTTCATACTAACATCATTTTTGTTCTCATCATGGACTCTCCAACTACCGTCGGTGAGAATATAATCGTCCATTTGCATTAATTAATTATGTAAATTGAACGTGAATAGCAAAATGGATATTAAAAAAATTTTTCAAAATAGAACCAAGTTCAGTTAAAAAAAATTATTGGTATTCAAATGGGGGGACTTAGCGATAGGAGTTTATTATTGAAAATATTTGGGAAGGTGTGCGATCTACTTTATTATTGTCTATTGATCGGAAAGGAGCTGTGTGATTGGTGACGGGTTTTCTTTCTTTTTTATTTTTTATCCTCAATTGTTTCAAACCTCACCGGTTTTTTAACCAGCAATCAATAACTTAGTTATTCTTATTTTATTAAGTTCTTTATCATCATATAATAATTCATTAGTTTTCATTAAAACCTAAATATGATTTATTATTATTGAATTATTTTTATCTATTTGTAGTAATCTTATTTATATTTTATTTCAGATTTATTCTTAATATGTTGATGTTATCCAGATTTAATTATTATTATTATTTTCGAGGATGAAAGACAGCATAGATGTTAGTGGGAATGAATGTGTGTGACTATGACATCAGCAAGTTTTCATATTAATATTGAGTTGCGTTGCAGTGCCGGGAAAACCTCAGGATGTTAACGCGACAGCTATAAATTCGACAGCTATCACCGTTAGATGGAAACCACCGAGAGTCCAAGACCAAAACGGCGTAATCAGAGGATATCAAATTAATGTACAAGAAGTTAGTGATGAGGTAAAACAAAGATAAAAGATAAATATTTCCATTTGCACAAGATACCTCAATGAAACATGAATTTTCATCTTCGACAATTTATAAAATGGTTTATCTCAAAATTTATATAATAAAAAGATGTTAAAGTAAGACATAAAGATATGTAATAAAAATTTTTAAAACTTCAAAATATTTTTAAATACTTTTCAGTTAATTATTTTAAAAATTATTAGATTCATAAAAATAATAATTTATTTGTTTGTAGCCAAATAAATATGATTTTTAATTCAGTTTAATTCAATTTTAAAATAAATTTGAGTCCAATTACTCATTTGTTATTATTTATTAAATAAAAATTTATATTTTATCAAGTTATTCTATTTTTTATATTATTTCTATATATTATATTATATTAAGTTATTATTGGCTACAATCAATTGAAACTGTTTGTTTTTTAAATATTTAGTTTAAAATATTTATTAAATGAAGATCAATAATATAATTCTACTCTTAAATGTATAGAATCATTTCTAAATTTAATAAAATCAATCACTTTTATCTAAAAACTTAGTTACCATCTTGTATTATCATACATATACACTTGACTTACATCGTTTATTTTAATTCCAAGAGTGACGATTTGTTGAACGAGCCCATCTGTCGAGATGTCCTGCACGACGTTCTGGAGATCAACGTGACCGATTTACAACCAAATACGAAGTATCAAATTCAAGTTGCTGCTTTAACTAGGAAAGGTGATGGAGATCGGTCATTCCCTATTCACATCAGAACCCCGGGTGGTGTGCCGAATAAACCACCAGTCAACACCAAGTAAGATATCTTAGTGGTAGGGATAAAATTCCAACTATTGAAATAATAAATACTTTTGCAGAATACTTAACAAAGATCCAATAGTTCTTGAACTCGAATGGACTAAACCGAGTGATATCGGGGGTGAGTTATTGGGGTACCGTGTTAAATATGGTTTAAAAAATCAACCACTGAAGGAAGAATTCATCTCAGATATTAATCAGTACAAATTTAAAATCGAAGATGTTGGTATGTAAAAAGTATTTTAGGTTAAATTTATTCTTTAAATATCTTTGAATGTATTTTTGGAGAGTAGATGTGAAACAATTGGGCTAAAATTTTTTTAATTACGTTAGTGGTAAATAATATAAAAGTTTAACTAACAATAATATTGCATAATTGAAAAACTGCATTTACTTTTTCTGCTTTTCTCTACAAGTTGTAATATTAAACTTCAAACTATTGAAACTACTTAATCAACAGTTTGTTATACAGAGTACTTACTACTCATTAAGTAAATAAAAAATCTTTGACGAGTCTTAGTTTATAAATTAATATTTGCTATTGTGTAATTAGAAAAATAATATCAGTCTCATTGTTGTATTCATTCGTAAATTAATAATATTAGTTTTTCAAACAATATTTAAAATTATTTTTAATTAAAATTTATTTCTATAAAATAAATCGTTAAATTTTCTAGAACGAGGTGTCCATTACGAGTTCCGAGTAGCAGCCGAAAATCAGAATGGTATTGGTCAAGAAAATGTAATATTCTGGGAAAGTCCAGAAGGAGAGCCATCTGGTCCACCTACTAATCTGACTTACAGCTTCCAAACTCAAGATACTGTATGTGTTAAATGGGATGAGCCTAGTCGACAGCATCGTAATGGTCAAATAATTCGATATGATGTGGAATTCAATAAGAAGAATGATCATAGTACTATTGAAGCAAGAAATACTACCAAAAAAAGAGCAGTATTTACGAATTTAGAAGAAGCAACTGAATATGTATTCCACGTGAGAGCTCACACGAGTAGAGGCGCCGGTCCCTACTCAGAAAAAATTACGATTGTCACAGATAGAGATATTGGACGTGCTCCAATGTTCGTAAAAGCAGTAGCTACCTCAGAATCTAGTGTTGAAGTTTGGTGGGAACCTGTGCCTAATCGAGACAAGATTATCGGCTACAAAATCTTTTATACAATGACAGCTGTAGAGGATCTAGATGAGTGGAAACAAAAACTCATAGATTTAACTGAATCAGCTGATTTGGAAAATCTAGAACGAGATACTGCTTATGCAATAGCAGTGGCAGCAAGATATAAAAATGATACTCTTGGAAGACTAAGTCAAAAAGTTACGGTTAAAGTTAAACCAGAAGATGTACCTATCAACCTTCGTGCTTCAGATACATCCACTCATTCGATGACCTTATCGTGGAGCTCACCTATAAGACTGAACCCATCAAGTTATAATGTATCCTTCGATGCTGTTAAAGACTTTCTCGATTCCCAAGGAATTACTCAAATACAAATTATACCCAAGAAAACAATTGTTTTAGAACCATCTGTAACACTGGCTGTTATCGATGAATTACAGCCATTTACTACTTACAATGTTAATGTTACTGCTGTTCCGCCTGACGGTTCTTATAACCCGCCTGCTAAAATTAAAGTCACAACACAAATGGCAGCTCCTAAACCTATGGTTAAACCTGATTTTTACGGTGTAGTTAGAAAGGAAGGAATTCAAGTCATTTTACCACAAGCGTCTGAAGAATATGGTCCAATTGCTTATTATTATTTAATTGTTGTGCCTGAGGATAAAGCTACTGCTCATAAACATCCAGATGAATTTACGGAAGATATGATTACTGGAAAAAATCCTAAAGTAGATCCTAAAAATGCACCCTACATTACTGCTAAATTCTTTCAACGAAACATTCCATACTCATTCCAATTAGGAACCGGCGAAATGTATGAAGAATTTGAAAATAGAAAACTAGATCCCAATAAACGTTATAGGATATTTGTGAGAGCTGTCGTTGATACTACTAAAACGGTAAATTTAATGATTTATAATATGTATGTGTGGAATGTTGAAGTAAACTCTGGTTGCACTACTTGTAAGAATTTTTAACCAACGAGAGATAATTGAAAATTTCATTATTAGTTAACAAAAAAGAAAACAAATTAATGTAGATAAAAAGTCAAATTATCCAGATTTATTCTAATGCTTCTCATTGAATTATTTGAAAAAAACATATTTATTTCCCCAATTTAGTTAAAAATCTCTTAATGAGTTTGGCTTAAAATCCTTTTTGCTTTAAACTACACAGAGATGCTCTAAAAGGCAGACTCCAAAGTAAAATCAACTCTACCTCAAATTATAAAGACGTTATATAAATTTAATGATGTTTTCTTTTATTATATTAATTTCTTCTACTTTTTTATTATTTAAAAAAATTCTAAAAAAGTTAATGATGTATTCTACAGATGTTTAACCATTGATTAATCCCTAATTATTATTGTTTGCAGCATCTTTATACTTCATCACCATTCTCCGAATATCTCTCATTGGATATGAGAGAAGTACCTCCAGGCGATCCACCAAGCCGCCCAAATCCTGATAATCCCCCAGATGGAAATCCCGAAGTTTCTGTAACGAACAGTGGTCAAGAGCCAGGAATGGTTTGGGTAGTCGGGCCAATTATAGCGGCTCTCATGGTTAGCGTATGTTTAGTATTGTTGTTTGTGATAAGGAAGTGAGTATTACTTAAACATATGGCTTTGTTAAAATTATAAGAAACTATTATTTTATGATTTGTTTAATTTTGGCATCCCCCCAGACGAAGGCAGCCTTGTAAAGCTCCAGATCAAGCAGCTGTGACGAGACCACTAATGGCTGCAGATATAAGCTCCAATCACGCACCGTCAGATCCAGTAGAGATGCGGAGGTTAAACTTCCAAACACCTGGCATGATATCTCATCCACCCATCCCTATCACTGAACTTGGTAACCACATCGAGCGTCTCAAGGCCAATGATAATTTGAAGTTTAGTCAAGAATATGAGTCAATTGAACCAGGCCAACAATTCACTTGGGATCATTCTAATATGGAAGTTAATACCTCAAAGAATCGTTACGCGAATGTAATTGCATACGACCATTCTCGTGTGATTCTACAAACTATTGATGGGATTCCAGGATCAGACTATATAAATGCAAATTACTGTGATGGGTATAGAAAACAAAACGCCTATGTTGCGACCCAAGGGCCATTGCAGGAAACTTTTGCCGATTTTTGGCGAATGTGTTGGGAACTTCGAACAAGTACAATTGTTATGATGACGAAACTTGAAGAGCGAACGAGAATTAAGTGCGATCAATACTGGCCGACTCGTGGTACTGAAACTTATGGACAGATGACTGTCACAATCAGTGATATTCAAGAATTGGCAACCTACTGTATAAGAACTTTTCAAGTGTGTAGAAGTGGTTATTCTGAACGACGTGAAATTAAACAACTCCAATTTACCGCTTGGCCAGATCATGGAGTGCCTGAACATCCTGCACCATTCCTTCAATTTTTACGTCGCGTTAAAACACTCAATGTACCTGATTCTGGTCCTCTCGTTGTTCATTGTAGTGCAGGTGTTGGTAGAACTGGTTGTTTTATTGTCATTGACTCAATGCTTGAACGAATTAAACATGAAAAGATGATTGATATATATGGACATGTAACGTGTCTTCGTGCTCAACGTAATTATATGGTTCAAACTGAAGATCAGTACATATTCATTCATGATGCTCTTCTCGAAGCTGTTATATGTGGTAATACTGAAGTACCCGCTCGCAACTTACACTCTCACATTCAAAAGTTAATGCAACCTGAGCTTGATAACATCACCGGTATGGAACTTGAGTTCAAAAAACTTTCCAACATCAAAGCCGATTCAACAAGATTTATATCAGCAAATTTACCTTGCAATAAACACAAAAATCGATTGGTCCACATATTACCATATGAATGTACTCGGGTTTGTCTTCAGCCTCAACGAAGTATAGAAGGATCAGACTATATTAATGCCAGTTTTATTGATGGATATCGTTATCGTTGTGCTTATATTGCTACTCAAGGTCCACTTAATGAAACAACTGACGATTTTTGGAGAATGTTATGGGAACATAATTCCACTATCGTTGTGATGCTTACTAAGCTCAAAGAAATGGGTAGGGAGAAGTGCCATCAATACTGGCCATCGGATAGGTCTATTCGATACCAGTGCTTCGTCGTTGATCCTATTGCAGAGTATAACATGCCTCAATATATTCTCCGAGAGTTTAAGGTGACGGACGCACGAGATGGTGCAAGTCGTACTGTAAGACAGTTCCAGTTTATCGACTGGCCTGAACAAGGAGTTCCTAAGTCTGGTGATGGGTTTATTGACTTTATTGGACAAGTACATAAGACGAAAGAACAGTTTGGACAAGACGGCCCCATTACAGTGCATTGCAGTGCTGGCGTTGGTCGTACTGGCGTTTTCATTACTCTCAGTATTGTATTGGAACGTATGCAATATGAAGGTGTTGTTGACATTTTCCAGACTGTAAGAATATTACGTACACAACGTCCAGCTATGGTCCAAACTGAGGTAAATATTTTCTTGTTGCTAATACAAATAACGTTATTAATTTAAGTCAAACTCGTTAAGATTATAAGATACCTTACAAGAGGGTCCTCTTTCTTTCCTCTGAAACCTTGATATCTTAACATAGATTTATTGTAAAGGTAGTGGTGATTTAAATATTAAGTACAAATTTAATTTTTGAATTTCTTATTAAAAATATTTTAAGAGAATAAACAACACAAAAATGATGTGTTTCAAAAATTTAAATACATCTAAATTCACTTATTGAAAAATAAAACTTCAATTAAATTCTAAGACTTAAATGAATAATTTACTAAAAAATGATAATAAAATAATTTTATTATCAAAATAATATATATAAAAATGAAAATTGCACAGTGTTGTCATTTTATGCACGTGTTCTAGATAAATATTGATATAACAAATTTTTCAAATTTTTTAGAACTTTCTTATCCTGTTCACAGATAAATTAATAAAATAGAGTCATTTTTTTCCAAACATTTAAAAACCAGTCCATGATAAAATCACAATAATCATTGGTCAACTATATTTTAATATATTGATTAAACAATATGTATTAAAATAACTGAAATGAAAAATAAATCTTTAAATTTAAAACAATAAATATCAAAACTAAAGAAAAATCTCAGTCTTTTTTAATGTAAAAAAATATTTTTTATCTGAATATGATATGACAAAAAGTTATTGCACTCGAGGGCATTGTTATGTTTTGTATTCCCTTAATAAAAAAATTGAAAATCCATACTACTTCCATCAATTTTTATTTCACTATCCAAGTAATAGATTTATGTTTAGGTAAAGATATGTCTATTTTAAGAGGAAATATAAGAAGCTAATACTTATAATGTTTTTTAGGATCAATATCAATTCTGCTATCGAGCCAGTTTGGAATACTTGGGTTCATTTGATCACTACGCCAACTGACAAGAAGAAATACGCGAGCCAAGGGAACCAACACGGGACCGAGGAGAACGTCACATCAGAAGCCGTGAGAGTACTGGAGAAAGAGCGAAAATACGTCGTGTTTAAGTTGGTGGAAAGGAAAAAGCTTATTGATAGTACGGTACGGTTGTTGTGTTACAAGCTCGTAAGGACAAGTTTTCAAAATAGTTTTGTGACTAAATGTAAACCAAAAGTTGGGACATATAGAGCACTTTGATGACGAAAATGTACTTTGATCAAGTATTTATAGAAGGAAATTTTCATTCCCATTAAATGTCTAGTTGGCGCTGTTCAATCATTTTTCTATCGATCAGAGAATTTTTTAAATATAGAACTATTAAATATTACGTTCGGTTAAAGAACGTCAATTCAAGACTGCCATTTAGGCGCGTGAAAATCGGTCTGACACAGTTAAATAATCAATAAATAATTATATTATATGTAATACCGGTGACACGTGATGTCTCTCATGAAACAGAGCCTTAATGAGTTTCAATGAGATAAAGAAATAATAATTGTCCAAAAGTTTTAAAAAGCCCTCCGTCTAGATTCTGCTCGGTTAATAGTTTATTAGTATAATAATTATAAGCGCGGATTGAAGTTTAAGCAGTAGCAGTAAAATATTTTGAAAAATGTTCATTAAATCGAAACATATCGAAGTATGGAAATAATTATTTCAACTCATGCTCCTCTAATAATCAACTTTTCTATTATTTAATCATCTAATCTAACTCTAGAATTTTTGAATCAATTTGTTTTTCTAAAGTAGACTGATGATACGTAATTTTAAAAAATAAAATAACTGTTTTATCAGATAGTTAAATCTATTATGAAATCCCTTTACCATTTTTACAAAAAATAAAATGAAACAGAAACGAATTTTATTTAAAGATAACTAATAATCGTTACTCGTTTGTAAAATAATAACATATTAAACTTTTTACAATAGTTAATATAATATGTTTAAAAAAGAAGAAGGAATAATGCATTTTAAAGACACAATAATTAATTTCATGCTCGCGATATTGAGTCATATGAAAATAATCTACTTAAATAATATACGAATAAAATTGTGAATAAATGAAAAATTAAAAAAAGGGTAATGAAAATTTCCGCTCACTTAAAAAAAAACAAGTAAAAATTAATATACTGCCAAAATCGACAATTATTAATACTATTACCAATCGTGCATGATTGGAGTTTCTGATTACATTACCGTAAATCTAAGTAGCTGATAAGAGAATCGTTATAAGTTTAGCTATTAAATTTAAATGCCATTAGGTCACAATAACGAAATGTGTGAGAGATGTATGAGCGTAAACGGTGCCTATATGTATGTAGTATAATGACTATATATTGAGCGTTGCACTTCTTCGTGGAAGAATAATATGGATAAGAGCACTGTATGTTAATTGCACGCTACGTTATTCCGAGTCGTTTAAATCTGTATGTATAAAATTCCGATTATCATCGTCCAAAGAATCTCAACTTCCTTGAAAATTCATTTTTTATATTGCTCAAACGATTTACTTAAAATGTTGCATTTATAGAAGATAAAGAAACATTATTTTATTACTTTTTTGTTCAAATCACATTATTTATTTATAAAAAAGTGATGATTAAAAATTTAATTGTTATACAAGTCAATATGTTCAGTCCTACTATAATTTATGTTAATTAATTATTCATATAATTGTTGACATTATTTGTTAAAGTTTCAAAAATTCTCTAAATAATTAATTAATAATATAAATTATTGTAGGGGAAAACATTTAAAATTATTTAAAGTTATTGTTTGCGGAATGTTTAAATACTTCCTGCTGTATAATGTAAAGTGACAGAGAGATAATTTGATGATAAAATAGTTTTTTATATTTTTCTTTCTATTAAAAAATTATTATTTTTTTATTAAGCTTCTATTTGTGTGAGTATTTTGAACTAGAATTCTTTAATAGACATATATTCGAGATATTTTTCACGAGAAATGATGTGATCATGATATTATATACCAAAACTGATTCATTACCTTAACCCTTTGTTATTGTTCCGATGATTCTTTTTAATCTCATGACCTGAAAAAATTCATAGAAAATTTTGAACGTAAGAATTTCAATCACTTAGTTGAGTTTTGATTTTTTTTCTGTCTGTTGACCCAAATAAATTCGCGGAAAATACTCGACACAAAAAATTTATAAAGTCACAGAATGTTTTAAAAGGACACAATAAAATAAAATAATATTTTCCCTTTCTTTATTTTAACTCTCATCGCTTTTTAACACTCATGAAAAAATGTAGTTTTTTCATGAAACAATTTTGACAACGAAAATTTCAATAAAATCAGAAGGATAATATTTCTGAAATCTTTAAATGATGTATGTTATCATTTTCTCTTTGTTGCTTTGAATTAAATGGCTGAATGTATTTATAATTATAAAAATAATTTTAAATTAAAAAATTTTTTTTTTTAAATCCAAAACTAATAAATAGAAAACAATATTTTAGCCTTTGCGGACAATAAATAATTGATTTATTTGTTCATCGTATTTTAAACTACTTGTACGTAATTCAAGATAAGAAAGAAATTTTGAAAATTATCGTGCCATTTGTAATTTTACAAGCATATATTGAATACGACTATTACGTACTTAGTAAAATATCCCATATTGTCTGTAAAAAGCAGAAGAAGGCTCGGAAGTAACAATAATGTGTACATAAATGCACCGTCTATTACAATTAGTAAAATCGCAGTATATATAAATATACATATGAATATATATTTATAAAGTGTGAATAATATATATTTACATATTATACAAATGTATAAATATGTATTATTTGCAAAGTGGAAAAAGATGAAATTAATATAAATAGTGAATTTATGGATATTTTATAGTTATCCAATTAATGATAAATGTAGCGATAACGATCTGTCAGATAAAAACGCACTTTTCGATTTTACTCGTGAGATTTAGCTTATTTAATACATTTTTTACATTGCGTACCATCATAACTTTTTATATATTTTTTACGAACCAATGTAACATGCTCTACATGACTTAAAATGATTTAATTGTTGAATTATGCAAACTCTTGCGCGAGTTAGAGATGTAATCGTTAATTAATTCAGAATGTCTCTTTAGTCTTTTTTATGGTTAATATTTAAATACTTCCCAGGTAAAAATTTTTATCTGAACTCTCTTGTCAAATTTATTTAGGATTAGTACTCATTTTTTATTCAAATTATAATTTTCATATGATATCTATGGTTCGAGACATTTTATTTTAAAGACAAATTTGAATAAAAAAATTCAAAATTCAAGAGTTGAATTGAATTATTCAATTTAAATTCAACTACAAATTCATATTCAAGATAAAATTAAAATTTTAATCATAATGACAGTCTAATGTGAGTTGAATAAATTTTCAAAATTTAATTAAATAATTAATTACATAATATTTTTGCCTGGGTTGCATTTAAAATGTGATGTGAGGCATCAACTCTAATGGTAAAATTAGAAAAATACTTACTATTAATTTGAAGCTATATTTAATCAATTTTTTTACACCCATAGCCAAAAGAGTGTATCAGGGTAGCTAAAATTATTATTATTTTTTAAATTCAATCATTTGTTATTAATCATAATTTTCATGTATAATCTAGTCGAATTCCATTAATCAATAAATACATTAAATTATTATTCATCATTTTTTGGCTTAGGGTGTAATAGTTGTAATCTATCGAGCTATGCCACATTACTACTTTTAGTTACTGACGTAAAAAACATTTCCATTCTTTGTTATATATATATAAATTAAAACTAATGCTATAAATTCGGCTATTTAAATCTCTCTAACCATTCCAATGAATTGTAAAGAAAATATTATAATTTTGTATTAATAATACTGCGTAGTAGTTATAATCATTTGATGAATTTATTTATGTAATTAAGTAATTTGTGAACCGATAGTATAAATGTCTATCAGTATACATTCTGAATATTCTGGCTGTTCCATTTCTCAACGGAATGATCTACTCATAGATAATGAAAATGAAATTGACTCCATTTATAATTATTGTTTTATTAACAATCGAAAACCTATAAAATGTTGATAGGCACTTAATGTATTCGATATAAAATACTATATATCACGTATTCATGCATTGTATATACATCTATTTTATGTTTTAAATATACTTATTATACATCTAGTACATTTTTGTCGTAAAAAATTAAGATTAACTTGATTTTTATATTATAAGAAAATCATTTCGATAAATTATATTTTAGATGAGTGATCTGTATCAATCTACGAAAATTTTGGTTAGTGGTCGATTAGATGTAGAATGTGGTTTGTTGTATTCTCTTTCACGGAATCACATAGTTATATTATAATCATCCTGGTTGCGATTCTAGTGATTAAATGTTATTTTACAGGACATTAAGTCCACATAAACCATTTTATCGCTGTCAGAGTACTATTACCCGAGTAAAACTGTAATATACTAATACAAATAATTTGGAAATATAACTTAAAAAAGTAATAATAATAATAACCTGGTGATTATATCAAATACTAAATAACGTTGAGATAATGGAAAATTATTTTGTGATACTTTCTTGCCAGAAAGAATACAACAGGCTGAGACAAATATAGTAAATATAATGTTACTGATGAAAAAATAATACAAAATTGATTGTGTACTAGAAAAATTCTGTAAACAAGATGAAATACCATGTACATTATGTATTGCCTTACGGCATCAATAGAATAGAAATTAACAATGTAAATAATTGATTATTTATTTCAATCCTTTCCTATAGAATATTTATTTATATTCATTATTTCATAGTCTCATTGTTCTCAAAGCAATTTACGCACATAAATTAAAAATCAATCATCGTAATGTTATATACAAATGTTGTAATAATTACATACAAATAAAAAACTTACAAATTATTTTTTACATTCTGGGTAGATCGTAAAATTAAATCATATTCGTTGGCTGACTAGATGTTGTTGGAGGACTTTTAGTCATCATCGAACTCATGACCTGTATTACACAATTCATAATTATATATTAATAATAATTTATAATTGGATACTATTGTTGTGGTTATTTGAAAAATCCTCTACTTACGTTCTGCATTACTTGTTTTCTCAAAAAATCACTTGTAGCAGCAGAGATGTTCTTGTCTTTACCCATTTTACATTTTACATATCCGTAAAGATTTGCTCCATTTAATACAAAGGCAATACAAACAAGTAGTAACCATTTAAATTTAAAACTAAATAAGGCTGCAATGAAGAATATACCCCAGAGTAAAGGATAAATGATTAATCCTAGCCAAAATATTCGGGCTTCTGTTGGATTTATTCGGCTTAATTGTTGTTCCTAGAGAAAAAAAAACAATTTACTTAATAATAAAACAAATTTGAAAACGAAGATTCATTATATTTTCGCAAATATGATAAATTTAAAATGTACAATAAATTATTTGTACAAACCTTTTTAGACTCAAAAATCCAATGGCTTTTCCCATCATCATCAATGTAATTCCACCATCTAAGACCAACCATCAATCTCCCAGTAATATTTTTAACTGTCCAAAAGTCCATGGATAATAAGAGCATTATTGTAACAAAACTACCTATAAACCCATCAGTAAACCATGAGCAGAACATATAAACAACTATAGCTAATGTGCGGAATGCTAGATGAAAAAGCGTCACGTATGGATGTCTGTAATAAAAAGACATTAATTAACCATATAAATAGCAATGATAATCCTATTTCTATAATAATCAGTACTTGAGTTTTCCGGATTGGACCTCGTCCTCCTCACCAAATGCAATTGTATCGTCATCCATCAGTAGTGGAACCTGGAAATAACACAGCATTATCCAGGAAAAAAGAATATTTTACCACCAATTGGAAGTAATTGAATAATATTAATAAAACACGAATAATGATTTATTTTATTGGACATTTAATTACATTTTCCACATAATTATTAAATGGGTATAAACGTGCAATACTAAAAACGTGTAGTTTAGTTTACCAGGTAACCTTAACTCCAAAGTACAATAAATGATAACGAATGACTATAAAAAGATCGTAAAACTTATAGTGAGAGAAAAAGAATATTCTACATATATTATTTTTATAAAAAATGCTTAAATAGAAAAACACTTACCGAAGCTGATGCCATAATCAACAATATTCAGCCATACGTCAACTCCAATTGCTTACATCAGCTGTCCCGCATTATGTTGACAGAAGAACTTCATTCATAATCAAACCAATAGATGGCATATGTGAACAATTCTCATATATATATCATAAATATGTATCTATGAAAAATTCAAAAAAAAAACAACTTTCATCAGAAACTATTTTTCAATACAAAATGTATTAATTTAAAATCATTTTTAACTTTTTTAAATGAATTTTGAATGAAAAAGATGAATATTTTTATTTCTATCTTATTCTTTTTTCTCAAATTTCTTTGCAGAAAAACAGTCAGCTAAATTTTCATTTTCTCAAAGAGAAAACAAAGATTTCAAATAAATAAATGGAATAGTTTTTGTGACGAATTATTTTAATTTAAATAAATGAAATTGAAAATGATTTTGTAGAGGTTATCAGTATAATCAAAAATGTGATTTAACAGCTTAAGAATTCTAGTGTACACAGTAAAATTATTTATTTAACATAAACAAATGTTATCACGTGCCACTATTGAAAACTATAGATTGGAATGCTCAATATTGATCAACGTGATAATAAAAATTATTTTCGAACAAATAAAATTAATAGTCTGTACATTTTATACTTTAACAATGTGAATAACATTGGTATTCACAAGTGTGTTCTTATCCAAAACAAGTGTACTAGTAAGTATTTGGATAAAAATGTTCGAATACTTACTGATCATCGAATTTTAATATCACACATTCTTTTTATAGTTCAAGGTCTTTAATTTGTCCTTTATATTACAATAATTGGGTAAATTATATTAATAATATAAATTTCAATAAATTGATCACACGATTTGACTTTATTTATTTCAATAAAAAATATTCCTTCTTAATTGAAAGAATGAATTACTTGGTATTTAATAAATGAAACTTAAGGAATTAAATATTTTTTGTCTTGAGATCTTGAAATTTCTGAGTTATAATACTACAACGATAACCTTTAAAACTTTGGATATGGTAACACGTAAATTAACATAATTGATTTATATTGCATACAGTGGTAATTGAATAACTGTAATGATACACACCCACATTTTAACATTTCGTACTAATTTTTATAAATAATATTTTAAAATAATAGTAATTAATTACTATCAAATGACATAATAATTAAAGGCAAAATGAACGAATAATGAACTATAAAAAATATGTTCATATTATCGATAAATTGAAAATTTTTCATGGAGCATGAAACAAACGGAGATGTCACCGTGAGCGAATTCTGTGTGTAACCATCGTGGAATATAATGGCTATTAAAATAATTAGTATGACGGCATTATGTTGATAATAAAAAAATATGTTCACTGACGTCAATTTAACTCGTTAATAAAACTACGTCAAGGTGATATTTTATAGCTAAAAAAATGATCAAATAACCGCTAAAAGAGAAACTGATTTATGTGAAACTTCGAGTCACCCCCAGGTTAATGGGTGGGGAATAAATACGTTACTCAGGAGCCATGTGTATATAAATACAACCGGTGTACACATACAAGGTTAATGTGCTTCTACAAGCAAAGAATTGGTGTCGACGCATGCAACTTGACAGGGTGTAGGACAGGACGACGACGGAAGAGTCAGATAGTATTGGTAATGAAAAGCAACAGCTCACAAACAGGTTGAGAGCGTGGGTATTGTGTTGTATTAGTGGTGATAGTCGTTGTCAGTAGAGTGGCGGGTTGAGATAAGCGCGGGGGACTAAGTGAAACTGAAACCGGTGAGATTTTGAATATCACTAAACAGTTTATTGAAGAGCAGACAGTTTGTAATACGTATGTTGAATCAACGAAGAAACGGTGTTTTACAAAAGCGATAATAAGTCAAGGAAAGATGCTCAAAGGTTATGCTCCAATAACTCAAGCCCTCTTGGGTACACTTTTTACGTGGGCTTTGACTGCAGCTGGTGCTGCCCTTGTTATAATTATTCAAGGAAAACAGGTGAAATTTTTTTTTATGACGTTTTTTAATCCTGCTGACATTGATCTTTTGGAGTTTTTATTGTTTCATTAATAGTTATGTTAAAAATCTTGCTCAATTTATTTGAATTGATAGGGTTATTTTCTAACCTTATCAAGTTTACATTTGATATTTTATCCTGTTAATGACTATATCATATTTTTAATTTGGCTATTTAAATATAAGAATTATGTATAATAAATGTCCCATTCTGTTCTAGATAATAAATTTGTGATAATGATTTTTGTTATTGCGGGTTTTAGAGAAAATTGCTGGATATAAGCCTGGGATTTGCTGCTGGAGTGATGATTGCAGCAAGTTACTGGTCTCTTTTGGCTCCAGCAATAGAAATGGCTGAAAACAGTAAAATTTATGGCGAAAACGGGGAATTTGCATTTATACCAGTCGCAGCTGGATTTCTTATAGGTGCTGGATTCGTTTATGGGACTGACGTGTTGATATCATCACTTGGAATTCAATCCCCAAATGTGCTTTTAGCTATGCAATCAGTTGGTACGAAACAAAGACGCAAAATCCATGAAAAATTAAAAAGTGACGACGACTTAGACGATAATAATGTAATTAGTGGCGTACAAATTTCCAGTGGCAAAATTCACTCTAACGAGTCGACCACAATTGATGGTATTGCAACTTTTTTTTACGTTAAAGACAAATTAAATTATTCTGTAGGTCTGGAAAATGGGATCAGTTCACGTAAACATTAATTAATACTTGCTTCCTATTACTTTTAATCTTTTGTCTGTAACAATTAAAATGTCATTAAAATAATAATCTTGCATGCCTGTAAATAACTCATCAAGTGAAATAATTCATGTCTAAATGTTTATGCACATGTAATCGCTTTACTAATAACTGTACTATTTTTTGTTGCTTTATAATTCTCTATCGTTATTAATATGGTAATGAAAATAATACATAATTTTTTTATCTATAAATGGACAGTATGAATTGAATCATTTCACGGATACTATGCATAATTCGAAAGCATAGCCTTGGTGGTGCATTTAAGAAAAGAAAGGAAAACTAGACATACATTAAGAGAAACTTATCTTATTGTTTAAAATAACAAATGTTTGATTTTTATAATACGCTGATTCCCCAAGACTATGCATAAAACCATATTTTAACGAGCTCTTAAACTGATCTTATTGACCTTGCCTGCAGATCTACATGTTTTCCTATGGATTTGAATTTATTTAAGTATGTCACTGTTACAATTTAATCTTATTTCTGATTTTTGTATCGAAATAAGCACACAAACAACTAGCACCATACTAACATTAATACATTTGTTACAGTAATAAACTGTTACAGGTTTTTATGAACAAAATACACGAAGAAGACAACCAGGACCTGTTTCAAGAGGTTCTGAAGTAGCTGACTTAGGATCTGTTTATGAAGATCCCGGGAATGAAGCTAAAAATAACCAATGGAGAAGAATATTATTATTAGTTGTTGCTATTACGGTACACCATCATTATTCAAAAAACCTATTAGCTCTAACAAAGTTGTTTTTTTAATTAAAAATTATCTTCTTAGGTGCATAATATCCCTGAAGGTCTAGCAGTTGGTGTTGCCTTTGGAGCAGTCGGAAGTAGTGCATCAGCAACATTCGAAAATGCAAGGTAAGCACTTTACATCATTATTTCAACTTAAAATGATCATTAATCACAGATAAATATTGCGCATCAATTAGTACTCAACAACAAATGATTCAGTTACGTGACTTTTCTCATTTTCCTTCGTGATAGTAGAAAATTGATATTGAAGATAAAGATAACGGTATTATCAAGTGCTTTTGAGAATTCAACTACAATTTTGTTGAAAAATAAGTTTTGTATGAAAAAAAGAATATGATAACGTAAATTGTGGTACTCTTTGTTATCGGCTTCTCAGAAATACGAAGCGAGAGTTTGTTTGGACCAACAAGATATCACAGGATGGCAGCACAATGCAATAAACCAGTAAATTGAGTGGAACACGAAGAGATTCGTGGTAGGAGGTCCCCATGAATGAGTTCCATGGTGGTCGTAAGCGGCGGTCGGCCGGAGGCAAAGTTTATTGGCACGACTGAGGCGAGGGGACAGGGACAAGGGGCACGTGTGGCCCTGGAATCCAACAAGCCCTAGGCGCCGCGCATTCCATCCCTCCCATCCGTGCTTTGAAGGCCTATCTTCGAGCTTGCTTTCTTTAGCGCACATTTAGTTCTGAAGCACGACTATATACTCTGCCGTCCCCCTCGCTGCAACGCTTCGAACTCTCTTCCCTTTGATCAAATCGCCATCCACTGAGAAGCCGTCGGTTTGGCCTCTGATTTAGCCTGGCCCACGGCCTAAATTTTGCCATTCCTTTGTTTAGAAAGTTTCATCAGACTCAAACTGTGGGTGAACATTACGTTCAAAGATCTCAATAGCGATTAGACGTCACGAAAAACATTGCAAAAATTTTCTTGTCAAATGTTTTTTAATCTTTTTTATTCTTTTAAATATTTTATTTCTTCTATTTACTATCAGTATAATAGAAAAATATTTTTGATAAATGATTGATGAAAAGTTGGAATGTTATTTAAATCTATAAAAAGTTTTTGATGAGTTATAAATAGTTTTGTTGAAAACTATGAATATTTTTGTAGAATATGCTTTTAAATCAACATGAAGGGATGTAGTAATCAACTTGACCGTTGTGGCCCTTTGGCGCCACCTTGGACCAGACGTATATCTGATGGTATAGTTCTTGGAAGCATCTTTTTCTTCTGCTTTATTAGGGTGTACCAGAGGACCATTTTAGTTCGAGTTCTAAAATACCGTATCATACTCATTTAACTAACCAAAAATTTATTCTTTAGCTTTTTTTACTTTTAATACACCAACTTATTATTTATTTATTTGCACACATTGTCTGATACTCTAACATTAATATCTGCTGGTATTTTATCTCTTCTAAATTATAATATAACAATCTCCTAGCAAAAGTTGGGAAATTAACCTTCCCTAATAAATTTGTATCATTCCGGAAATTTCTATCTTGTTAAAAAGCTCTAATTAAGTCTCGTCAGTACTTAAATCTCACTTTGAAAGGACTTGGAGCTGATTGCTATCTAATTTCTCTGAATTAACGATGTATGTACAGTGCGTAGTAGAGTGTAGACAGTTAGAGGCGTAAGAAAAAGGTATATGAACAAGTGCGAGACTGAAACGAGGGACTTAATATCTAGACGCTTTGAAGCCGTACCTGGCAGAGTCTCAGTGGGCTCTCGGTTGAAATGTTTACGTGGTGTGTAGGTTGAACAGGCTCACCTAACTACACTTCAAATGTACCGCCACGATTCGGCATTCCAGCGCATTCAAATGACACATTGGACGTTCAAGTTTGGCCCACTAGAAACGATGGGCTATTAAGAATCCTTGGAATGAATGGACTGCGCGTTTCACTGCTCTCTTGTGATAATTAAGAAATATTGAAAGAAATTTAAAGAATCCACTTGGAGTCTTATACCTGTTTTTTACACAACCGTTATATTTCGTTAAAGTTCTCATTAATCGCGATTATACTTTTTTATTTATTTATTTAATTAGCTGTAAATATAAATATCTACTTATCAACTATGTTCAATTTATTACAATTTTCTAATGCATGATTAAGTTCGAACGATATATAAACATTTTTTAGCACTTAATGTGCCAATCGACGATTGATCATTCTCGTAATTAACGTGGTCATTGCTAAAGCGATCAGTGTGGATATATATGTGAACGATTGACAAAGATAGCTGAAGAATAAGGATAGAAGAGCTTAGCAGGCTTGGCAACATTGGTTGATGATACGGGTTATCATTCCCCCGTTACTCACACGACAAAAGAAGTTACCATTAGCAACTATCGCGTCAGCTGCTTCCTTCCCTTCCTCCCTCCCATCAGTTTGCTGCTTCGACCCTGTCAAACCCCACTGCGACACTCTGTACTTGTTACGTGTCGATCATCGTATGTAATGCCCCAAATGGGCCGTGTGCATAGAGAAATAAAAGTCATGAGTGTGTCTCTTCATAAGATTTTCTTTCGCGACTGTTCGCCATATATAAAACCTACTCACACACCGGGTGACCGATACGACAACTGACACCAACTACAGTCCAATCATGATAAATCCACACACTATAAATTATTTTATATCAATTCTTTCAATAAAATTCCATTCACTGTTTTATCGTTTTACTCTATTTCCATTTTTCATGCACATAATAATTTTATGAAATAATGAATGTAGAATTTCAACCTACACTCATCCCTTATAGTAACAGCAGGTAGGAAGTACTGTAATATTAACTTTAATATTTTATATATTCTGACTTGGTTGAACTGTCTAAGCTTTTTTATTTACAGTTTTCTTTCCGCTGGAATAAAACACAATGTCTGAATGTTTGTTAGAGAGTCTACGCGTTCAGGGTAATTTTAGAAACTAGTGGAGCGATTCCTGTCTAGTCTTCAACATTGTATGTAATATTATTCCTAGCTTGAGGTTTGATGCTAGTTAGGATATGGAAAGAGAAAATATAAGAAAAGCATGGTAATTTGATCCTCGTTGAAAGTTTTTCTAGTATTTTTGGAGTTTATCCAGGTACTTAGTATTTATCAAACAATACCATATTCCTTAGATTAACTATCTAATCTTTAACATCCATAGTATTGCTAATATAGCAATACTTCATTAGTTCATATTATTAAAATAGTTGTGGCAGCTATCTAGATAGTTATAATAATCATCCATATAATTAAAGTAGGCATAAGAATTACTGTGACAGCAATCTACTTCATCTATACTTTGAATCTTTTTTACTATAAATTTTTTTCTGTATGATGTTGATTAGGTACCATGTTTGAAAATTAGATCAATGCCACTACTCATCATAACTATGACATTTGTTCTTCTAGAATATATTATGTATCTATTACCAAGCAATTTCTAACTGTAAACTAAGTCATTATTACCAAGAACATTCAGACATTTTTTAATGATATTAATTTGTTGATGATATTTATCAGTTTTAATTGAAACAAAACAATGTTCATTAATAACAATAATTTGATAAAGAATTCAACTACTTACCACATCAATTAATCAATGAAATGCTGCTTTAAAAGTCAAATAATTATTTTTTATGAATTTTCAAAATGACATATTTAGTAAATCAAGTTTATCGTTAACTCGGTTATCACCGAGTCGATTGTAAGACCCGGGAATGAACGACAAACGCGATATCCGGTCTGTTTGAAATGCGAACAAGTGATAAAAGCTGTTGGCCCGACCTGACACAAGAGAGATAAAGAGGGAGATCCCGGATGAAGACGAGCCAAAGTACGTTAACTGAGTTACTCGGTTATGAATGAATCGGAGTTCGGGCGCAAAGATAACCCCAACAGATACGAGTGTCACCGTATATACGCAACACTGACTGACTTTAGATTGTTGGCTCCTCAGATGTGTGCATATGTACAAAGTGCGTTGTTCAAGTATACACGAGTGTATTACTTGATTCTTGAATGTTTGCACGTACCATCCGCTGCTTGAGTCCAACATAAGCACATATAGCCACATTTGCCTGGCACTTATAACCACGTCTCGACATTTTGCATTGCACTAAAGCTCATGTACACTTTCTAGATATTCCTCATGTATACGTGGAGAGAAAAAAGAAAAGCACAAATACACTGTGTGTGGTCATCGGTGCGTATTATGTATGTGTAATTTTCAGAGTTATTATTACAAGAAAACGGTAAAAATAATTTCTTTAAATTGATTTAAATCGCAAGAGATCAAGTATAGTGCAGTAGAATTGGAATTCAGCCAATTAATATTATAATTAAAATGTGTCGATCTTTGGATTTGGAAAGCTGAAAGCCTTGGCTTTCTCAAGACTGCTTGCCAGATTTGTCGTCTCGCGTTCCAGTCTCCACGATGCCCTTCTGACTCTGCCACTTGGTACGGTAGACTCTCGAGATAATTACAAACGTGACTGAATTAATTAAATTTACCGAGTTTGTAGGAAAGTCCACTCGCAGACGAGTGTGAACGTTCATTAAAAACTTTACTCATTTATAAATAATTTTCATGAAACTTGAAAATTGTCAGGACAATAATAGTCATGTCTATGTTGAAGAAACTATAAAAAAGGTCTATAACAACCGATCTATATAATGATTAGATTTTTTTATTACGCAACAGTGCAACGGCCGTACTCGCGTGTCCTTTCCAAGGAAACGGGGACTGTAAGGCCGAGTGGTGGGTTTCACGAGTTCCGGCCGTATAGTGAGAAAGAATCATGAATGAACATTTAATAGGTTCTGCACTGGCAATTGCAACAAGCTGACGTCAAATGGCAGACGCAGCGGGAGATGAGTGAGAAGGAAATGAGATGAGTGAAAGCAAAGGAGAGAGAAGGAATCCAGAACGAGAGGTGTAGTTGTGGGTAGGAAGGTGGAAAGGCAGCAGATAGGAATATTGAAGGTGTGCACTCGGCTCGGTGCTCCAAGTAAACGCTCAAGGAGATCTGGTACTGAGTCACTCGAAGCTATGCGGATTTTTCGCAGAATCTGGGTCTGCGATTTTTTCATATCTCGCTTGCTCTTTTTTCACATCCCATCCCTTTTCTCTTCAAGCCCTTTTTTCCTTTTTTTCACTCTGGCGGCCTCTTCCCTCCATCAGCGGCAAGACGAAAGGTGATAACGTTGTACCTCTCACCCCCTGGGGGGTTCTCGCGCCGTTTCAAGCTGTACATTTCGCTTCACTTCTCAGTCAACTTCTTTCGGCCTAGATCAGATATAGAGATTGAATTTGCTAGATCGAATAACCATTTATAAGCATTCATCGATATATATATTTTTTTTTTATTGATTTTATATACTTTTATGAATATATATGTGAAATAGTACATTTTCTAATTCTGTTTTTTAATACACAGTATATAACTTTATTTATGCTTGGATGTTTTGCTGATGTTATTGTTATTGGTGTTTCTTTCGTGTACTTCGTAGATATAGACGTTAGTAACTTCAATATTCGTATCTATAAAATATCTTATTCTTGCAGTATTTTAGAACTTTGTGTAAAAAAAATTAACGCCTATTTATCTGAATGCATAACTTATGATTCCTGTAGAAATACAGGTAGAATATCAGAAACTTTATCTAGAGTATTCTAGAAGTAATATCTTGACCCAAGAGATAAATATTCTGGCTGAAAAATGTTGGAGCTATGAAATCAATAGTTATGTTTTGCTGGCATAATAAATAGATATTACTTTGATATATAAACAAATTGTTATTGAGATTGATACAAATATTGATTTTATTTATAGAACATGAAAAATGAGATTTATCTGTAAAATTGAATGAATCATTTAGAATGCTACATGAGCTGCATGATTTATAAAATCATTGTTTTTCTTGGAATCACTCTTTCAACATACTTGAGTTTCTTATAACAAACTAAAGAAATTTTATAGCATCAAAAATTAATAATAATTAATTTTTTTTCAAATTTTATTATGCATTGTAATTTCTGGATAAAAATCATACAATGTGCAATTGGTTTTATTGATTCCCTAATTTTGTAGAGTTGAATTCCAATATTCATTTGTAAAAGTTGCTTTTTCCAGATGATTTGATTCAAGTATTTGAATTGAAGTAGAGATTAAAAAGCCAAGTTGAAGAAGACTTGACTAAAAAGCTAAAAGTTGTGACAGTTGATACTTTTACTTTAATATATTGAAAAATCATTTAATAATTATTTCATTTTTATTCCACAGTAGTTTATTTTTACTTATTGAGTGATTGAGTGAATTAAGTTGATAAAAAAGATGAATTTAATTTTAATATGGTTGAGTACCATAGAAAAACTTGATATATTTTTTGATGTTATTGAAATTATTATTCTAAATGATTACTAGCCAGTTGTAGAATTTTCTTTGTCTTCCTATCTGTTGATTCCCGTTAACATTGGAAATTATTGAACCGATTTGAATGAAACTTTCACCATTAAAAAGGTGGATATCATGAATGTGCAATAAGGTATACATCATCACGATTCGATATGCAGAAGCAGAACAATGAGCAAAAACTAAGAAGATGAAGCAGGCATGGAATTAACTGTACAATTTTGTATTTAATTAAAGTAAACATTAAAATTATTATGTGAGAAATGAAACTGATTAATTATAAATATTATGTAAAAATATATTTTTAAAGCTGTTGAAAGCAAAATATGTGATCATGAAGAAAACGAGGATCTGATTTGTATATATACATTCTGATAAGAGCAACAAGAGTAAGCAAAATGAGAGGAAAAAAGAAGGTAAATAAAAAAAGAAGAATAAGCGGAGGTGAAGAGGCGAGTATATAAAAAGAGAAAAATCTCTAAGATCCTTCTTCACAGTGTAGCACGTAGATGAGGTGGTACTACGGTAAACATGGCGCCTTACAAAGCTGCCGACGAGACCATCTCATTTCACCACTATCCTTTCGTCCGCCTTATTATATGCCGACTAAATTGGTATTCTGTTAAATTCGGCTTCATGTCCGCTTTAAATTCTCTCTATTTGAATCCTTATACTTTTTTTCATTCTCAACCTTAAAATATTTTCTTCATTATAATTGGATCTTTGGTATGAGTAATTATATCTCTTCAAAGTCATGTCTTGCATGCAACTTCAGTGCTTTGAAGCATTTCAACTAGATGCCTTCAAGTCAAACTCTCTTCATACTACCATTTTTATTTATCTGATTTTTATTATTTTATACAATTTTACAATATTTTTGCCATACACTCCCGCGTTATTATAAGAAAATGTGAAGATAGAGGATTGAAGCGGATGCTGTCAGATATGAGCAGAGAAAATACGCGAAGGAATGCAAAAGCTGTGATGCACAGTAAAGACCTACCTACCTTCATCGGGAGTGGAAAGAAGCGGCAAAGTTAGATTATAGAATGAAGAATCTGCGTTAAGTTCTCTCGAATGGCCGCGGCTTGGCTCGAAAATGTCAGGAAAGAGAAGGGAATCGATAAGCCGAGAGCAATGTCCCGAGGAATGCAGCGTGGAGGGACTCTTTCATGCTCCTGCTGCGGGTGCTGCGAGTGTATACCTACAATCGACGGGGGAAGTGCCATGATGTCGTTTTCGGATGGATCATTGACTTTTTGTGAGTGGCGTCCATACCATCAAGAATCTACCCATCAAGTAGTGATGCTCATCACCACCGCTACCACCACCACCATCATCATCATCATTATCATCATCATCATCATCAGCATTATCATCATCTTTACAATTAGTTCCCTAAATTCAATATCTTGGAACCATTACCATTTTGGTCCAACATAGCTTTGGGAAGAATTACTGACTGTAATAAGCGAATTCTTCACCAACTTTTCATTGGTGTGATAAAGAATTCGTTAATATTTCACAAGTACATACTCTTCCAATTCTTTCAATAGTCTTCGGTTATTAATGGTAAGTCGTAACCTCTTGGTACCTATTCTATTTTATGCCTGACGCGTACAAACTCAGCGAACTCGCGCGGCGCCGTTGTTCGCTTCCGATTGCCTCATTATTCCACGAAGCATGATTACAACGATAAACATCTTCCCGTGTTGCCCGTGCACTTTATAATCATTCAGCCGGAGAGCCGTTCTCGAGGAGAGAAGTTCTGAGAACTGGACCCGCGAGACGTTCTCTAAGTTAGTGACATTCCACGCCGATACTTTTCTCGTCTCGTATTTCGCGCTTGTTTCCACTTCTTTACCACTCTCCACTTTTATTTAAACTTTTTTTCTACTTTGATGCTTTTGGTTGCAATAATACCATAATAAACATATAAGCTTAGCATTAGAGAAGTCTAGTATAAATTGAGAATCTTTATTTTCATTTACTTCAAAATCTCCTCTTCATCACCAAGTTTCCATTTCTATATCTTTTCCATTTAATTGTTGAAACAAAAACTTGTACAAGCTTTAAGCTATCTGATTCTGCAAATACCATCTTGTATTTTACCTGCGCTTACAATCAGGAATGTGTTAATCATTCAATTTTATCCATCCAGTATGCATAGAGACAAAAGATGAAGCAGCTACAAGTAGCAGATGGTTGACTCGAAAAAGACATCAACTGACAGAGTCATCGTTGGATGTGCGACTAACACAGCTGGATGTTGATGGATCTTCATAGTTAGCTGGTGTATCAGGATGACGAAGAAGAAGGTACTTTTAGCACTGCAAGAGGAACGACA